AGGAAACGTCTGCAAGAAAATCACCAAGCTCAGAGAGAACCAAGGACCTCCTAGTCCTCCTCCTCCTCCGGATGATGTTACCTAGTTTGGATAATGAAACATCTGCAAGTAAACAACCAATCTCAGAGAGCTCCAAGGACCTTTGACTTGGATTCTGCTTTGAATGCTTGGGGGGAAAAAAATACCTCTTTTTAGCTCACAAGAGTTTCAAGCAAGTGTTGAAACAAGTGTCAGGCGTCCATTCTCGAGCTTAAACTTTTGCACGTTTGGTCTCTAGTGTGATGCTTTGCATTTTGTGTGCTGCCCCTCTGAAGTGGGTGGCCGCATCCTCGTTGTGTTGACAGATACCTTCCTGATGTTGTAAATGGTAATGCAAATCCACCATTTTCTTCCACATGCAACCCATGTGCCTTCATAAAAGAAGGTAAGAAAGCTAGAAAGCTGTCATCCAAACGTGAGTTAATGCTGCCGTTGCATCTAAGGAGTCTAGATTTCCAAACCAGAAACAACGAACTCTGGTTTAAAGCTGGCTTATAGCTCTGATTTGTCTGCATGTGTACCGATAAGCTTGAACTCCAGGGTCCTGTGAAGCCAAGTTCATTTGGTCAAATGAGGCATAGAAACACACTGCCCAAATTCTGCCTTGGTTGTTACACAACCATCTTTATTCTCCTTCTACGGATCCTCATTCAGATTCACAATTGCCTGCAAAAAGAAGCCTCTGTACAATCACAGCCCTGCAATTACTGTAGTGGGCAGAGATGTTCTCATCTAATCAGGACCCAATTTAATTCACATTTCATTTGGGCTACTGCCCTTGTGAGATCCCCCTTTGCTTCTGCTCCCTGTGGCATCCTTTGAACGGAGGAGCACTGTATCTTGCAGGTCTCACGAAGAACAGAAGAATGCTTAATCAGATTAAAATTGCCTGGTGCTTCAATCGGATGGTGATGATGATAATAATTAAGGAAGTGTCTAAAATGCTCCATGTGGGAATAGACATCCCCTCACCAGTCCCTCACCAGGGATTTGCCTCTTGAGAAAAGAGTTTTGATCATGCTTGATTATATTTGCTCCCCTGATGACTTCTGTTATCACGAATCCTTCCATTCTCCACCATTCTTCAGTCAGATCTGAAGAAGCTTCTTGGATGAGAAGCAAAATGTCCTCCAGGAAAAACAAAGGAAGTCCAGTTGAACTTTGGGGCAACCAGGACCTTGGATGACTGAGAATCTCCATAGACACGTGGTTGTCTTAAGTTCACAGGTCTTAAAGTTGCCACGTTTGGAGACCCCCCCCCCATGTCTAATACAAATGTACTGGTCAGCTCCTCCTGGGTGATTTTCTGATTTTCTTCTCTGCTTTCCCTCCCCAGCAATACTTCGTCCTCCTGATCATCACCGATGGTGTCATCAGCGACATGGATGAGACACGGCATGCTGTCGTACAGGCCTCCAGACTGCCCATGTCTGTCATCATCGTTGGGGTTGGGAACGCCGACTTTGCAGCCATGGAGTTTCTGGATGCAGACAATCGCATGCTTCGGTCGTACACGGGCGAGGAGGCCGTGCGGGATATCGTCCAGTTTGTGCCCTTCCGTGAATTCCGCAGTGTAAGTGCAGGAGAATGCCTTGTTTGCGAGGGAGGGAGGGAGGAAGGAAGGAAGGAAGGAAAAGAAAGGAAGGAGAGAGGGAAGGAAGGAAGGAGAGGAGAGGGAGAGAGGGAAGGAAGGAAAGGGAGAAAGGAAGGAAGGAAAGGAAGGAAAAGAAGGAGAGAGAGAGAGGGAAGGAAGGAGAGGAAGAGGGGAGAAAGAAGGAAGAAAAGAAAGAAAGATCAATAGCTAAGGAATTGAATCTGTAAAAATACCATGTTTAAGATGGAACCCTAGCTGCGCCCTCATTGATTTTTATTCTAGACATTATTCTAGGCATTATTTGTTTTTGTGAATCCTCCAGCATATAATTTCTCAGTTTTCCTTCAGGAAAGTAACAATCTTTCTGGGACCCTCCAGAGAAGCCCCACAAGTGAGCTGGCAAATGATAAAACAGCAAAGACACAGCAGTCTGGTTGAATTAGCAAGCTTCCCTTTCCTCCTAATGCCAGTTCTAGAGTTACTTAAAAGTACCCTCCAGGTTTTTCACAAAGTGGTACTTTCCAGATATAACAGGGTTTACAACTACCAGAACTGCCATTCAACACGTGAAGGACACCAAGTTGGAGAAGACTCTCCTATGTCGATAGGTTCTGGAACTGGACAAGGATCTTTCGTTCCTCTGCGAACAGAGACTTTGTGATCAAGAAGGAAGCTGGCACGCAAAGGTGCTGCTATGCCAAGTGGTTGCCATGTAAGGACCTAAGAAATGGTTTGGTGCCATCTCCTCCTTTGGCTAACCGTGTGAGAGTACAGGAGAAGCTATGTATTCCTAATATCTCCTCAGCATTTCAGACAGACACCTTCCTTCTTGCCCAGAGAGGGCAAGAACAAAGAGAAGGACTAGCGGTGTCATGATAACTGTCTTCCAATACTTGAAAGACCGCCATAGGGAAGAGGACATTAGTTTATTCTCCAAAGGACTAGAAGTAACAGATGGGAGGTTTGCAAAGAGAGATCCAACCGAGAACTAAGGAGAAATATTCTGATAGTGAGAATAATTAATTAGTGGAAGGGCTTGCCTCCAGAAGTTGTGGGTGCTCCATCACTGGAGGCTTTTAAGAAGAGACTGGACAGCCACTTGTCTGGAATGGTCTCTAGGGCCTCCTGCTTAAACGGGGGGTTGGACTAGAAGACAACAAAAACATCCCTTCCAGCACAGTTATTCTGTCTGTTGAATTCTGTACGTTAACTTGGTCATGTGCAAACTCACTTCCTACACCAGAGAGCCAGTACTCATGGCGGTTGATGCCTCCAAGCATCCTCCAGTCAAGGTTACAAAGCCCGTAGGCCTTCAGTTCAAGGTCATTCTGATTCTCCAGCAGACCTCATGCAACCGAAAACCAGAAAGATCTGGTTGAGAACAAGAAGCAATGGATGGAAACTAATCAAGGAGGGAAGCAACCTGGAATTAAGGAGGAACTTCCTAATAGTGAAGAGAATTAACCAGTGGAACGGCTTGCCACCAAAAGTTGTGCGTGCGTCATCACTGGAGGCTTTTAAGAAGAGACGGGACAGCCACTTGTCTCAAATTGTATAGGTTGGACAAGACGACCTCCAAGGACCCTTCCAGTTCTATTCTGATTGATTGATTAACCATGGTTGAGGCAGAGTTTCATGGTTTTTTTACCCGTTTCCCCCCCAAAAAAAGGGATTCCAAAGTACCCTTTCTCAGGTATGTGGACCAGCCCTTTTGACCCTCTCTGGCTTTTTTTGCTGTTTCAGGCACCCAAAGAAACGTTGGCCAAGGCGGTGTTGGCAGAACTCCCACAGCAAGTGGTTCAATACTTCAAGCACCAGAATTTGCCACCCCTCAATTCAGAACCAGCTTAGAAATCACCGTTTGCTCCCGGCCTGCATGTATCCCACATCCGTTGATGGCAGAAGATTGCATGTCTCCCGTGGTTTCCAATCACTTTTAATTCAACTCCGTTCATTTAATCGAAGGGAACAAAGCATAACCCGATTCCTTCCAAGGGCAACTTGCAGTGTGAGAAGCGTAGAGATCTGCACTCGAGGATCCTGGATGGAAGCAACCTACTGTGGTCAATACTGGACACTCTCCCCTGCCTTGATTCCACAAATCAACTTTTAAGTATCTGAACGTACTTTGTATGCGTTTGGTGGAACGAGAGGACCTTTTTACAGCCACAATTTACTGTCTCCAAGTGTGAAGTTCTCAAAATCTCATTGCCCAAAGAAATGTGGACCATCCTTTAGTGTGTTGTAACTTGTACTTCTGCTCTATGTTCATTTTTATACCATGTACACATGATACTTGTTATACTCGGGTTAATAAACAACCTGAATTCTTCACATCTCCGTTGAAGGGTGTTGTGGTTTGACCCCATCTAGTCCAGTGGTCTCCTGCAGCTTCTTTTAACCAAATCCCTCCAGGTGAGTTGCACCTCAACTCCTGATCAGGGTTGCATCAAGTACCTGTGAAGGGCACCCAGGTGGGTGCTTACATCCTTCCCTAAATGTCAGGCTACAACTCAGAACCTCAGTTTAGTTTGTGAGACGTGCTGGACCTGTGTGTGAGGGAAAGAGTGAGCTAGAACATAATAATCGGGTTCATACAGGTAGTCCTTGACTTACAAACATTTGTTTAGCAACCGTTTAAAGATACAACGCCACTGGAAATAGTGACTGATGACTGGTCCTCGCACTTACGACCATCCCCATGGTCACAAAAGATCAAAATTTGGACCCTTGGCAACTAGCATGTGTTTTAAGTCAACTCCGACTTTTAAGATCAGTCCAATCCTTACAGACACAAATCAAGCTTCCATTTACCTTGCTAGTTCTCAGAAACTTAAAACAGCTAGTCTTTGCTTTGCAATTCCATTCAGAGTGACCGTTCAAAGTCACAACGGCGTTGAAAAAAAGTGACTTCGGACCATTTTTCACACTCAAACAACCACTGTAGCATCCCTAGGGTCACGGGATTTAAATTCGGATATTTGTTAAAGTGACTCGTATTTATGACGGTCGCAGCCTCCCCGGGGTCACGGTGATCCCCTTTTGCGACCTTCTGACAAGCAAAGTCGATGGGGAAGCCAGATTCGCTTCACAACCGTGTTACTTAACGGCAGTGATTCATTTAACAACAGTGGCAACGGTCGTAAAACGGGGCAAAGCTCACTTAACTCTCTCACTTAACGACAGAAATGTTGGGCTCAATTGTGGTTGTAAGGCGAGGACTACCTGTCCTTCATTTTTCCTAGGACTACTCCAACCACTAACTTTTGTTTCCATGCTGAAAACAGGCCCATCCAAGTGGGTGGAACCTGGACCAACCGAACGCGCGTTCTAGAAGGTTCCTACAAAGCAGCCAAAACAAGCGTCCTGTCTCTCAAGGGAGGCTGTCCAATAGCCAGGGGGGTTTAATTGTTTTTCTTCAACAAACAGAGCTCACAATATCAACTGTGTGAACATTAAGGTTTCGTTTGTACATCAATCGAAGCATTAAAAGTTTGTCCAAAAAAGAAAAAAAGGGGAAAAAAAGAGGAGACCGGAAAAAAGAGGTGAGCTTGAGGGAATGACTGGGCTGAAGAAGGACACAAGTTCTGAGTGAGGCTCGAAGAAGCGGCCTAGAGCGGAGCATCAAAAAAATTGCTGCCGCGGAACACGGAGGAGACGATTTTGCCCGTCGAGTTGATGGTGCCCTCGCTGTCTGAGCTGGATTCGGAGTCACTGCTTCCTGAGTAAGCCCCGAGGCCGGGCAGGATGCCGATGCAGACGGCGGCCGAGGGGCAGTGAAGGGTAGCGCCGCTCATGGTGCTGCTGCCCCGTGGGACACAAGATGGTTTCTCTGAAAGAGAAGAAAAAGGGCCGTGGAAATAACAAGGCTTCGGCTGGCAGGCCCCGTTCCCCGTTTCCTTTGAGGAGAGCGTCCCTGAGGAGAGGAGCAAAATGGGCACTTAGCCCCTTCATCCAGTGTTCCTCAGTTGTGGCAACTTCAAGACGTGTGGACTTCAACTCCCAGAATTTCCCCAAGAGTTAGAATTCCCACTGCTGGCTGGGGAATTCTGGGAGTTGAAGTCCACACGTCTTAACGTTGTCAAGGTTGAGAAACAAGGCTCTAATCTCTTCGGAGGCTCTCTAATTTGCGAAAGCAGGACAGAGCTAACCATGCAAAACACTCAAGCACATACACACACAGCCCTCCCAACACATTCAAATACACACCTGGAACCTTATCGTCGTCAGGATCCGGGTCCAGTTTCAATCTTTTTACACTGTTAGCGCCTTCTGAACTGTAAAAAAATCCAAATACAAATCCAAGGAGCAGAACTTAAATTAGTTCGTTAGTGGAAAACAGGCAAACGGAAAGATACAATCCGAGGCAGACATCGTGCTAATATTACCACAGCTGGTCCAGATGCCACAACTGGCTGAAGCTGAACATCATGCCTCCATAATTTGTGAATTGCAAACTACAAGGCAGTGGTCTCATCTGGCATAGTAAACCACAGATTTTTTTAAAAAAAATATGCTTTTAAGAATGGAGAACAGAGGTAGCTCAGAACTGAACTAAGTAGTAGGTTTTGTCTGAATTTAGCTTTCTTCTTGCAAATGTTTCATTACCAGACTAGAGAACACCATCAGTGAATCTCACGCTGTTACTAGCCTGATAATGAACCATCACAGGAAGAGAAACACGCTACTCTTATGGTTTGTCCCAGGACAAGACTATCTTTGCAAATTAGCATTTAAGAGAACATGCCAGAACACACCTCAGCAAAAATGGCTGTAGAGTAACAGAATAACAGAGTTGGAAGGGACCTTGGAGGTCTTCTAGTCCAGCCCCCCACTCAAGCAAAAGGGGAACACGTGACCCGGGACACTGCGACCGTCCTAAATATGAGTCAGTTGCCAAGCGTCTGAATTGTGATCATGTGATCATGGGGGAATGCTGCAAGGGTCGTAAGTATGAAAAATAGCTATAGAAAAAGGGATTGATTTCACCCAACTGCAAAAGAAAATCTGGAATTTAATTAGTTTTTCTGCATGGAAAAGCCCAAAGACTCGAGTTTTTTTCTTACTGCTGCCCTCTGAGTCTCAGGGGCAAAACCGCCGAGCTGCAAAACGTACCTCCTGTGTTTCACAGCTCCTGCTAACAGCTTGGCCTGAGAGAATTTGTTCTTGTTTTCCGATTTTGCCGACAGTTTCTTATCCGCCTCCTTCTTCAAGTCAGCACCAGCTCCGACTTTCGACAAAGTGCTGTGAACTCAAAGTTAAGGAGAAAAAGAATGCAGTGGAGGAAGCACAGAAGACACACAACAAAGAGCGGTTGTGCTACGGCTGTACAGTGCTGTGTTGCAGCGTTTCCAGTTCCACAAGCATTAGCCAGCAGATTTATTTTTTTACCTCTTTGCTATTACAGTTAGCATTTGGTTCTGGCACACACAAAGAGAGCGCTGTACGTAAAAATATGTGTAAACTAACTTTACTGCATTTGCTTTCCTGCAAGCATAAAGTTAAGAGGACTGGAACAATGACCTATTCAGCTAAAGGAAGAAAACTTGCACGTGGCACACCAAATCCTTTCAAGTTAGCCATCTACTGAGCTACATAACTTGGTCTATTATAATATTAGAGCTCATACAAAGAGCTTTTTCTTAAAACCAAATAAGGATTAGATTCAAATTCCACACTTCCTAGTTTTTAGCCCAGCTAAGGCTAAGGCTATGTATGTTTCTGTGTATGTGTGCGTCTCTCTGTATCTAGAATAGATATCTAGATGTCTAGAAAGAGAGCTAGATAGAGATATCTAGATAGATAATCTCTGCCACATCAAATTCAGATTCATATAATGACTAGCTTGGAGCTCCGCTAAGTTAGCTCTCTAGTGCCACCAGCTGAATGTCAGACTGGCACTGCCATGTTTTTCAAAAAGCAACACTGGGCAGAATCTTTATTGAAAACAACCCAAAAGTTACTTTATAAATAGTGGTGGAAATAGTGGGAAATTGTGATTGCAGACTGAAGATATTAATTAATGGGAAGCCTCACCAGCTTCAATTGTCTCCTAGTATTCAGATAAAGTGGTTGGTAATCCTTGACTTACGAATGTACTAGATCCTGCCCATTGCGGTCATGAAGTCGTGATGGCTGTAATGCGAGATAGCCATGTTTTAAGAAGCTTCATTATTTGGGCAGTATCGGTAGTCTCGATTTATGATCACAACCGAACCCAACTTTTCTGTTGCTAAGCAAGTAGCTGTAATGCCTTGCCCACAAATAATGCAAGCTCAGTGCCTGCCTTAATTTAACACTCCAAACAGCTGGAAAACGAGAAGAAGGCTCCCCAGAACAGGCCGATGGCTGTTTCTGAACCCTCCCAAGAGGAAGAAGGACCACCCCTGCAGGGTCAAGGATATCCGGTACTCGTTCAGCTCCTTGAGTTCTTCTTCATGACGCTGCTTTTCTATCAGTACTTGCTGCCGAGAAACTTCATCGAGAAACTTGGATTCATCTTCGTCCAGTCCCCTCACCATGTTTTCTGTAGAGAGCAAGCCAGGGTTATCCCAAGATTGTGATCAACCCACAAATTTGGCTACGGCATCTCTCCCGTCCCTTTCCACCACCACCACCACCACCCTGCTCATTTCAGCATGTTTATATTCCATCGGTTAGGAAGATGTGGGACAGCCTGTTTGAGGGACCTCCCGTGAAGATGCAACGGACAACATTTTAGTTTGGACTTCATTCCAAACTCCGTTTCTGAAGGACTCCAGAGAACCGATGTAACTTATTGTATGTCATTTCTGTGAATTTATCTGAGTAAATGTACATCACTTGTCTGACTGTGCAGTTGCATTAATTATGGAAATGTCATAACTCTGGTTTAAGGGGCCTTTGGTTCCATCAGACACCCCCCCTCCTTCCACAATTCAAAGTTTTATTGAAGATGATTGAAAAAAAGGCTGAACCACCATCCTGGCTGATGTTATCATAGTAAGTACACATTGATGTTTGCCTGTTTTGTTGCCATTTAATCTGCTTTCAAGATCCAAATTTTCCCAGGATGTGAAAGTTCTTCTTTTTGTAACACTACAGCTTCCTACATAGAGGAATATTTATTTGGCCTAAGGAGCACTTACACACCCCGCCTCTGATCTGAAGCAGCCCAGAAACAGGTTTCATTATATTAGGGCCTGGGCTACCAATCCGTGTTTAGCGCAATCTGATGAACTAGCTTACATACCATATAAATCAGAAATCTTCATTTATAAAACCCATTGGTCAGGGTAAAGCAACATGCTAAGGCAAAATCAAACCACTGCCACTGCCACAATGTGTGAGCCAGTCAGAATGCAGAAAGAGAAAACAGTTAACTATAAGAAAAGGGGTGCCACCTTGAACTAAAATTTCTCACTATGAAATCTGGGGGTTCATTCAATAATCTGGGTTCTGAGATTAAAGGCCACTCAAGATACAAAGGTTGATCTTAACTCAAAGGCTGGGAAATAAAAAAAAAGTTCCCATGTATCTTTATAATCTCTTTTTACTTGTAAAGTTTTGTTAGTTCATAATATACGATACAATCAAAATACAAAGTAAATAGCGGGAAAGATGGGGAAGGGAAAAGGGGGTAGAGAAGTGGGGTAAGGGAGAAAAAAAGGGGGGGGAAGGCAATGACTTCCTACTTCCTTTGGTGCAATAGAGTATCAACTTCAAACCTCAACTTTTTACTTTTACAAAATAATATAAAACAGCCATTTCAATAACATCAAATCTATCTAGTTGGTAAAGCCCACAATCAACATTTCATTTTTTTTCCACCTCAAGCACAAAATCTAGAAGCGGTTTCCACGCGGCAATAAAAGTATTCGTGTGTTTTTTTTCTTTAACCAGTATAGTCAGTTTAGCCATCTCTGCTAGCTCCGTCAGTTTTTGTAACCATTCCTCCGTTGTGGGAATCTTTATCTTTATAATCTTAAGGACGAGAAATATTAAGAAAACAGAATGGGTGTGAATTATATGAAATTCTAGTTTTAGTCAGCAAACCACATAACCCTGAAAACAGGCTCTGTCTGCAGACCGGGTGATGCTTTTACATACCAAGATAACAAAATACAATAAAGAGAGGTGGCGAAGAAGAAGCACAACAGGCAGACAAACTAATTACTTCAAATGCAACAATGAACTCTTTCAACCGAAACCAAGACGGTTGTGGCTCAGCACAATGTAAAACCACTCCTTTCCAAAAGCCAATGATTCCATGACAGAATGAAGGACATAAAAAAGGGCTGGTCTAGGGATGTTGCATCTCACAACTGTCTGGACCAGGGGTCCTCAACCTTGGCAACTTTAAGACTTGTGGACTTCAACTCCCAGAATTCCTCAGCCAGCAAGTTGCCAAGGTTGAGGACTCCTGGTCTGGACCACCCTTACATGAAAGGCTGTTGCCAGCCAGCACAAACAATCTAGAGCGGCGTTCCTTAACTTTAGCAGCTTTAAGACATGTGGGCTGGAGAATTCTGGGAGTTGGTCCATTCACTTTAAAAGCTGCCAAAACAGGGAAACACTGAGCTAAGGAGATGGATAATTTGATACGGCGGGAACACTGACATGATTCTGAGTGGAAGGATTGGCGAACGCCTCCTATTCAAACATCAAAAGAGGTTTCTGAAAATGTAGTTACAAACGTTAATACCTATTTGTTAGTACTCAAAGCAGCGGCATCTCTTTTCTAAGGATTAGGGGACTTTTATCAAACTTAGTCACTTTTAAGATATGTGGACTTCAACTCCCCATGGCTGGTTGGGGAATTCTGGGAGTTGAAGTCCACAAGTCTTAAAGTGGCCAAGGTTGAGCACCTCTGACATAAAGCTTCAGATAGGCAAGAAAGAACAGGAAGTTAACAAGTGCTGCCAGGTGGAAAGATAAAACACCAATGTTTTCCTCTGGAGATCGTTTCCCCATTGTCCGCAGACATGTGAGAGCAGAATAAACCTGCCACTAAATCTGCAACTTTTGAAACCAAGAAGAAAAGTTGGTAGCTGTGCCAAGCTTCACACTGCAATCCTTTTCCCTTTCCCCTGCAGAAGTGGACAGACTGGTTCCTGGATTCCAGCAGTAGCCAAGAAGCCAGCTGTGCTACCTTGGCACAACTGTAAGAGAGGGTCGCGGGGCTTTCTCCATAAGGAAGCATATCAGGAGAGACCGTTCTTTCTTAAGTATACTATTCCAGGGAGATAAGAAAGAACAGAATTTCAGAGACGCTGAGTGGAACTTACTGAATTTGAACTGTTCTTCAAATTCCTGCTGCTTCTTGTCCTTCTGTTCTTGAAGCCTTTCATAGAGAGATCGGGGGTCATAAACTTCTTCGGGACATTCTAGAAGAAGGAGAAACAGATTTCTCTGTCAGTATTCAGGAATTGCTCCAATGGAAAATTTACTCCATCCGTCAAGTTAATAAACCGCAGGAAATGACAAGTCTTCCTGCCTTAAAACACATCTCACTTTTTATCTCAGGAAAAGAATTGATACCTGTAAACCTCAATCTGTTGATTCCATAAGCGATTGAGGAGCTTCTAATTGTGATCGGTGAAGTTAATGCACGCTTTCTACAAAACTGGCAGATGATGCTACTAGTCTAAAGTCACAGTAGCTGTACTCTAACACTCTGTTACGCATTCAAGTACAGGTAATAGAGAGCTATTATACCTTATCTTGATGAGACACTGCAATACAGTGGCTGAGATAATGAGCTGTAGATCAAAAAGTTCCCAACTCAGGTTTTTGTTATAATTTGCTAGGAGCTTTGGGAAAGCCATTAGTCTCCCTGGCATATCATGGCTTGTTTCCCATGTTAAAAAAAACCCTCAGAAATACTAAAAATGCTAAAAATTAATAGCTGAGTATGTGAATTCTCCTCTGTCCTCTTCCTAACCTTCGTATGCCCAGGAAGGTTAGAACAAAGAACACAGAATAACAGAGTTGGACAGGACCTTGGAGGTCTTCTATTCCAACCCCGCGCTCAAACAGGGGACCCTGTGCCATTTTGGACAAATGGCTATCCAGTCTCTTCTTAAAAACCTCCAGTGTTGGAGCATTCACCGCTTCTGGAGGCAGGTTGTTCCACTGGTTAATTGTTCTAACAGTCAAGAAATTTCTCCTTAGTTCTAGGTTGCTTCTTTCCTTGATTAGTTTCCATCCGTTGCTTCTTGTCCTGCCTTCGGGTGCTTTGGAGAATAGGTTGACCCCGTCTTCTTTGTGGCAGCCCCTCAAATATTGGAACACCATTATCTGTACTGCATTACCATACAAACTTTCTTACTTGGCTTCTTTTTCCAGTTACATAAATAGTTAGGAATATTTTCAGAGTGACATTGAACTGGTCTATATGTTTCATCTTGGTTAGTACTTATAACTTTGCTCAACTATCCTTCCAGTTAGGCCTTGTCCATAGCCAGTACTTGGTTGAAAGTGCCTTAGATCTGCCCTGAACCTGGCTTGGGATTGTGACTCTTTAGATCAGGGGTCCTCAACCTTGGCAACTTTAAGACTTGTGGACTTCAACTCCCAGAATTCCTCAGCCAGCTTTGCTGGCTGAGGAATTCTGGGAGTTGAAGTCCACAAATCTTAAAGTTGCCAAGGTTGACGACCCCTGCTTTAGATAATCCCCCAACTGATAATCAAATACCTTTCGGGTCTTCAGGTTTCCGAACCTTCTCCCATTCCTCTTGTCTTCGCTTGCGACGTTCTTCTAACTCAGCTTCCGAGACAAATCTTTTGTTAATTACAAGGTCCGCACTGCTTTCTCCACCTTCCATTCTGGAGCAGCCTGTGCATAGAAAAGAGCTAGAAACAGGCCTGTACCTATAAACTGCGCTTTCTGGCCTAGAATGGTGAATTTTTGCCTTGTATCTTGACTTAATGACACAGATCTAGCACTTTGCCCACCAAACAGACCATGAAAGCTGAGGGCACAAAGGACATGTCAGATGTCTATCAAGTCAAAAATTGTAAATACCCACGAAGAAGTCCAGAGGTGTGATGCGCCCATGTGGCACACAACAATACTGCTTATTACAATGTAGGAAGATTGAGGAAAGTAGATCAGGGCCAAGCAATTAATACCTGGGAATCGGAAGGCTTAGCTTGTCCTTTCAATAGACTAATGGAAGCTGTGTTCTTGTCTCAGCAACAATACTGGTAGTCCTCGACTTACGACTGCAACTGAGCCCAACATTTCTGTGGCTAACCGAAACATTTGTTAAGTGAATCACCGCTGCTATTTAGTAACCCGGTTGTTAAGTGAATCTGGCTTCCCCATTGACTTTGCTTGTCCGAAGGTCCCCAAAGGGCGATTACGTGACCCCCGGGACTCTGCAGCCGTCATAAACCCGAATCAGTTGCCAAGCATCTGAATTTGGATCTCTGGGAGATGCAGCAACGGTCACAAGTGTGAAAAATGGCTTTTTTCAGTGCTGTTGTGTAACTCTGAACGGTCACTAAATGAAGCGTTGTAAGTCGAGGACTAGCTGTACAGAAGGGCTCTCCCTGAAATCTCCTGGTGGTCTCCCATCCTACTCCTGGCCGGGCTGTGCTCAAGGTCATTAGAAAGCACCCCAAAGGGCTCTGGACCCTCGAGATATAACCACTCCAATAGCCTCCAACGAGCCCATGTGGAACTGGCTGTGGATGATGGGAGCGGGAATCCGGAAGGACCCATTTTGGGAAGCCTGCGTTTTGCACGAACGACAGGTAAACGTGATCACAATAATGAATTAAACTCGGAGCCTCCCCGTCTCCGGCAAACACCCGACGGGGAGCGCTTTGCAAAGGTCGATTCGAATCATGTTTTGTTCCTCACGGACAGATCCGGATCATCTCGCTCCGCCTCTCCTGACGCGACCCCTCTCCCCCCCGCGCCTCTCCTCCGAAGCCCGGCCACGGGGCCTCTCGGGTCAAAGGACGCCCCTCAACACCCATCTCGCCGCCACGGACCGTTCAGACGACCGCTTCTTTCCCGCAAACCCACCTCACGGCCAGAGGCCCGGCGTCTCCAAGGACACGCCTCCCGACCCGCCACACTTCCGCACCGCCTCTTCCGGCCCGCTCTCAGGCCGCCCGACCAATCGCAGTCCAGCCTGGCGGCCGGCCGGCCAATAAGAAAAAAAAAAAGGATGGGTGACAGGGGGGCGGGGTTACGCCCCGTCAGCCCTCAAAGCCACAGAAAGGGTTGCCTCCTCCCTCGTCCCCAGAATCCGTCAATCAAATGAAAGGGAGAAGCGATTGGCTCAGCTTCACTCTCGTTTGGAGTGGGCGGGCCTGAGGAACGGGGGCACAGAGAGAGAGAGAAAGAGAGAGAGAGAGAGAGAGAGAAGGAAGGGGCGCGGCTCGGTTGCTCGGAGATGCGGCGCTGAGGAGTGGGCGGGGCCGCCGGGCGCGCGCGCTCCCCTGGCTCGCTCGTGCGCAGGCGCGCGCTGAAGGCGGGTGCGCCGGGCCTTTCCGCCTGGCCGCTGCTGAGGAGAACCGATGGCGCGAAGAGGCGGGAGGGCTGCCGCCGCCGCCGCTTCTGTCGGGCCGCTTGGCTTGAAGCCCTGAGGCGACGCCGGGCTCCATCGCCATCCCTGGACCCCGGGCCGCGCCCGCCAGAAGCCCCGCCGAGCGGCTGGCGGAGGAAAGCGCCGCCGCGTAGAGAAGGGAGGACCCCCGCCTGGGGCGTCTTCGTCTGGGCAGCCCTCGGAGCCCTCTGGGGAGGTAAGGAGGCGCGCCCGGCTGACCCCTGGGAGGGAGGTATTTTCCCCCCCCCTCTGCCCCGTTCACACGTTCGCGCAGACCCGTGTCGCCGCACACTTCATTGTTCCGCCAGCCTCCTTGTAGGCAGCCTGGCCGCGCTTGCACACCCTTTCGTGTCGTGTTGACGCTCCTGGTCTGCGCAGGGGAGGACTCTCTCTGCAGGCTCGTTCCCGATACGGCATTTCCACTCGCACGTGCAAAAGGTGTGTGTGTGTATGTGTGTGTGTAAGCGTTTGCCCGACCTCTGCCGTGTCCACAAATGCGGGCAGGGCGAATGGCCCGTTTGCATGTAGGGTGCAGTGGGGAGGAGGTCCGTGGGGGGTACTTAATCCATGGATTTAAACCCATGCCCGCATTTGGAGATGCGGATACATTTGCAGGTACAACCACCAGTATGGATCTGAAGTGTGTTTTATGTATTCGGGCTGCCCCAATCCAATAGAAAGGGACCAGTTGATGCATGCGCTGCTTTGTGTCCCAGTTTTCTCTCTTGGGCTTTCTGGCTGTTGGGTTTATACTTGGTTTCTTCATTGGTAGTAAATGGCCCTGAGTGATTTCAAGGTGGGTAGCTATGTCAATAATCCAAATAAAATTCATACATATTCATGCAATGCAGATTATGAAGAAGGAAAGGGGGGGTGGGAAATAGGATTTTGCTCAAAACATCCATTCACAGGTAAGACTGGGGTCTGGCACTCTGGTTTACCGAAATAAATAATATCCCTGTTAGGATTTTAAAGTGCACTATACTGGCGTATATTTTATTAGGGTGATGTATCGTTTTCTCTCTGTCTTTGAGAATCGGTTCCGGGCATCTTTCTTTTTTCAATAGTCTTTTCTCTTTATTGATTTGTTCTGCTTTGCCTCCTATTACTGTGGGTGCCTGTCTGTAGGCATGACTAAGTCTTCAATGCAATTTGCTCCTCAATTCAGCTATATTCCCCTTCTCTTGAACAACCTCCTTGCCTTGGCTTGCCTTAATTGTCTTTTGTCCTCTCACCAGTGGAACTAAAAAGAAAGTACAACACAGGCAATACTGGTAGTCCGCAGCATATGACTGCTCACTTAGTGACTCTTTGAAGTTACAACAGATGCCAACAAGGATTCAAAATTGGTGTGTGCGCGTGCATTTTGGGCGCGTGCATTTTGGGCGCTCAGCAACCAGCTCGCATTTACAACCATTTGCAATGCCACGAGATCACATGACTGTGATTTATGCCGTTTTTGCCGAAAGCTAGCAAAAATGGCATAAATTGCCGTTTTTGTTAGCTTTTAGTTGCTGGCAAAGACCACTCCATAGCAAAAAAATGAGGTCACTTAGCAGTGGCGGCATTCATCTGACAACCACCACAAAAAGGACAGTAAAATTGGGCACAGTCACATAATGGCCCGCTTTACGACCGAAATTGTGGATTCAGTTATGGTTGTAAGTTGAAAACTACCTGTATGCTATTCCCTTGGTCTGTACTCAGTGTATAATGGATTGACAGACAAAAGCATAATGGTTCAGCATGAAGCCCGTGACTAAGGTGCTTATGAACCTGTACCCAGTACAACCTGGAATGTGGACCCATCCTGATCTTGGGAAGGAAGAAGTGCATTCCTGTGAGTCAAAGGTTTGGAAACTAGGGAAAACTGAAACGATGTGAAGAAAGGGACATTGTACTGAAAGGAGAGCCAGAGGAAAAGAAAGTTTCACTTGAGATAAACATCTGTTGGGAAAAACTGTAAATGTTAATGCCAAAAAAAATGGACAGAAGTGGAATGGTTGACTTTGCTCAATATTTTATTTTTATCACAAACTGGAGTTTCTCGGAGATTGACAGCTATTTCCTCTTTCTTCTTAAGACCAGTAATGCACAGATCACATGTGCTGCTGATAAGTAAGGAAAGAGAGGTTATTAAAAGCCCAAAGTACAAACTCAGTGAAAGAGCTGCCTCTGTGTGCTTCAGTGGTTAGCTTTGTGTTTTTCTAGTATGTAGGCTTCGCAGGATATAGATAATTCTGACTCTGTTCACGTTACTTTCAAAGCAGTAAAATGATCCATCTCTGTTGGGAGAGATTGTCTGTTGCTTCTTTTCTTGAGTTCCTGCCCTGGATTTACTGTTCAAAATGGAGGCGAAAGTGCCACATAATGTTAAATTTCATATTCCAAATCTTTTATTGAGTTATTTTACGCAGCATTCCTTCAAGAGTCTTCTTTGAGAGCTGTGTGGTGTTAATGGTTGGAGCAAGCAATGGGTGAGGACATTTTTTCTTTTTAGACACCTCTCTTTTTTGTCTTTTTTTAATATATATAATTTTCTCCCCCTCCCCCCCCAGTAGTATGCTAAAGGAAAAGGAAAAATCTCACCAAAATTATCACTTGCATAAGAGTTTTAAATGGTCAAAATTGTGTACTTTCTGTCTAATCCTTCTAAAAGTGGTATTTTTACCTCCTATATAATGATTTCTCTCTCTTCTGACTCTGTTGCTCTGTTTTTTTGGGGATCTCAAGGGGTACATGGCTCTTTGGACCCTAAGTCAAGATGGAACTGTTAGTGCCTCCTTAGAGAAGCTGCGTGTTTCCCTGGCTCCCAAGACAATAAGCATTTGAATTAAAACACCAACAACATGCCCTTGTTTACTTGGAACACTCCTTTGGCTTCAGATATGAAATGCTGCACATTCCTAGATAGCTGCTTTACTTAAGGCTAGCAGAAGTGTCCTTCACGGTTTTCTTTCAATTTTGCACTTATCAGCTGGGCAGAAAAATAAAATAACCTGCAAATAAAATGGTTGTTTTTGCATAGTTACAGGTCGTCTCGTGTTTGCAGAAAAATGGACAATAAATTAAAAGGATTTTTTTAAACATTAAAACTATTAATAAAAAGGGGAAGTTACTGTGTAATTAATCTCAGAATAGAAGTTGCAACACTTATTTTGAAGTCATACCACTTCCAGTACCTGAACTCTTGAAATAGCCTGTTTTGAAATCAGAATATTTTGACCATTAAATGTTTTGCATACCTCTACGTGAGATTGTTTTTTCTTCAGATTTTTTTCCCCACTTTCCTCACATAGAATTGGTTCACCCTATTTGCTTAGTTAGCCATTATGGATTTAACAAGGCAGAGTTGACTAGGATCTCACAATATTTAACAGAATAACAGAGTTGGAAAGAATTTTGGAGGTCTTCTAGTCCAACCCCCTGCTCAAGCAGGAAGCCCTATACCATTTCAGACCAATGGTTGTCCAGACCTTTCTTAAAAACCTCCAGTGTTGGAGCACCCATAACTCGTTCCACTGGTTAATTGTTCCCACCGTCAGGAAATTTCTCCTTAGTTTAGGTTGCCTCTCGCCTTGATATGTTTCCATCCATTGCTTCTTGTCCTGCCTTCAAATGCTTTGGAGAAATAGATTAACCCCCTCTCCTTTGTGCCAGCCCCTTAGATATTGGAATTCTGTCATGTCACTCCTAGTCCTTTTCCTTAAACTAGACATACCCAATTCCTGCAACTATGCTTCATATGTGTTAATCTCCAGTTCCCTGTGAACTGTGCTAAACACAAACCAAAGGATTTCCTTTATGATGTAGTATGATTTAAACTAAGTTATTAGAAGTAAAGTTTTGGGTTTAGGGTTGGCTAGCACTGTGTCCTAAAATAAAGGGTTGGGAAGGCAGAGAAAAAGGTGATCATAAGAGATCCAAACACAAAGCTCCGGGCAAAGCTCTATTTCAGTTTGAAACTGCAGATCCCTCCTGTAAGTCTCATGTGGATTATTACTTTTCTGTGTCCTAATAGCAAACTCACTAGCCCTATATCTAGTAAGAATAATAAAACACAGCTATCCAGTAGATTCCTGGTTACCTTACAGATGAGGGTGAACGTTGTAGGTTCAAACACAAAAATACCCCATCAGTGCTGATTTTCCTCCATGTTGGTGAATAGAGAGATTGGGCTATGAAGTTGAGTGATTGGGAACCGGAAGTAATTTAGTGATCCCTATTTTCCAACTGGATCTTTGTTTTTTCCAATTTTACAGATGGTACTGCTTGCTACTTTGAGAAAAGTGAAATGTCACAAGTAGTCTTGCCCTGAAGAGACCTGAAACTGTCTTCTGCCCTTCAAGTTGGGTGTTCTGGGCTTTATTTTCAGTTGAATGTGATGTAAGGTTTGCTGCTCAGTACGCTGAGACACATTTCACCTGTCTGAGAATTTTTTAATGGCATTCCAACCATTCTTTCCACACATTTTGTCATAAGAAACTGGGCAGAGAACGGAGAATAGTTTATAACTACTCAGTGACAGCATGGAAACAATTGCGGAATTCTCCTCGATTGCTCTTTTGTGATAAAAATTAATTGAGTTGCTTTTTGGGGGATTAGAAGAAAACTATCTCAAAATTCCCAGGCTATTAGCTAAATTGGTAAATTGAAAAACATCTTATGAGAACATCATGACAATCCATTCCAAATGCTACCAAGAAAAATGCATGGATGCTCTCATCCAGAGCTGAAGTTATAGAAAAGAAAAGGATGTGATGTTGAGAAAATCTATAGGGCATGGACTCAGATGAATACTCTTATAAGTAAGATCTCCAATTAATATTTTCTTATTTTTGACTTAATTTTGTGTAAGGCATGGCTGCTGTTCCATGAATACATATCTGATTAAAGTCAACGCCTGTTGTTTAGTATATTTTCTAGACATGTACTGAAAAAAATGCTAGGACTTTCCAGTAGCAATTGAAAGAAATAAAATGGTTACAGTCCTACAGGTTTTTTCAGTAGGATCAGGATGACTGAGTGGTCTTCGTTTAGCATGTAAAAGCTTAAAAAAATTATAGTGTATATTTTTTATTTTTTACATTTATGTATCGTCCATGTCCCTTGAAGAGTGACTCTTTGTATATACAATTTCATAGCCTGTGGAGCTGTGTAGTTTTTAATTACTAGAAGAAAAAGGGTGGGAATGCATCATTTTATCGTAGTCAGCATAGTATGATTAACTATGAGCCACGTAGTTCTGTGGCTGTTGCATGAAACTGTTCAACAGAGCAAAATGTGTCTTAAAAAAACGGGTTCAAGAGGAAAAAAACAAAACATTTTATGGAAGAATATAGGCTTTTGTTTGGAGCAATTTTATGGATAAAATTCATATCCATATTCTGATGTGGAATACGTTATTGTTCAAAAGACTGGTTCCTGGTCCTTCCAGCTGTTTGCAGGTGTTGCATTACAGGAGACTAACCGTAAGCCGTTTGTTTGGCTTTCTATGTGGTGTGAACACAGCCAATTGTGGCCTGTTCAATAAACTATGGTTAAGCAAACATTGCATGTTTCATAACAGTTGAATACATTTAACTGACTTTAGTTGTGGTTCAAATATGCCTTGAAAACTAGTCATGCAGATGCTTAAAAATAGTACAGTTGTAGCTCATAAAATCTTTTCCCCCAATTTATCTTCAGAAAATGCCATATGCTCCTTATTATGCCCTTTATTTATCACGATGGAAACTGGAGCGGATGTGAATATATTAATTGTGTGTTTTGTTTTGATGGTTCTTTGAAAGTGTTGGGTTGCTGTACAGTACAATGTTCTCTGACAAACCTTGCTATCAGAATGCTTGATGTAGCCTGTTCATGAATATCTCGCTATTTCAAGTTGGATTAGGACCAAGCCATTAGTAGAAATGAGTGTGTTGATATATTTATTTTGCACTTTGAGAAACGTCAAGCTTTGAGTGTAGATGGCCTAATGGCCAGTAAGATATGAACACTTAATTATTTATACGTACTTATTAATGTTCACCATTAATGGCCTGTCAACCTGAAAAGCAGCTTTGAGGTTAATGCCAAATGTCCTCCAAACTTTGGGCTGTAGTATTCTGGAAGTTAAAACAAGTTTATGATTAAAACAGAGATTCTGGAATGTTTTGTAACAACCAGTGAATTTAACAAAAACAATCAGGACAAACTTATGCTAAGAAAATGTGTTTTTTAAAATAGAAATTTACTGAACACGAACTTATTAAACAAATTTAATGTTAGAATATAAGGGAAATCTTGATGTGGTGAGATAAGGCATGTCTTCAGTAATTCATCATATTGGAAGTTCTCACATATATGGATGTTTTGCAAGAGAGACAATAAAATGTTTTTTTACTTTCTGGGATCACAACAAAGTTGCTAAATAGCGTTTATGGGTTTGCTATCTGAAAGCTATGAGTTTTCATATATTGGCAATCAGTAAAGAAATTGAAGTGAGCTTGGTGGCTGAAATATTCAAATTTGGTTTCTTGGAATAATTATTTTAGAGCAAGGATTTTTTTCTACACTGATATGGTTATGATGTAAAAATCTTAGAATCTCTAAAATAGTGGTTCTTTTATTACATGTTATAGAAACAAGTGGACTAGTACCATTTCTATCACTTTTCAGTCATTTGGATTTCTTATGCAAGAGTCCTCATCAGCTTTGAAAATACATTTTGCGATTTAAAGCAGTTTGTAAGAGGAAATACGTATTGTGTGAGTACATTGTCCAACAAATTAAATAAGCAAACATTGCATAAATAATGGCAGTTGCGTGCTTATGTTCATTAAGCTAGCTCATAGGAAGCATGGTGTGCATTTTTTATTCTGATAGAGAAAAGTACTAGAAATGAAAAGATCCTGAAACATACTGACAATTTTGTGTCTGTGTCGCTCAAAAAATAGAACTTTTGCTCCAAGAATTTATGTCTGATGCAATTGGTTGGCGAATGTTGCTAAAAATACATTTGGCAAGTAAGATAGAACCGCTGAAAGCAACTTGGTAGTTTAAAATCTAGTGGTTATTTGCAAGTCTCATTTCATAAGTATTTAGTGCTGCCAGCCACTATTGATGAACATGGAGTCCTTGGTGCTCTTTGAGCTTGGTGGTTTCCTTACAGACCATTTGTTACCAGACTAGGTAATATCTGCAGTACAATAAAGAAAGTATTTGTAGCTGAGGGTTGAAACTAGCAATTGATGATGTTACCTAGTTTGGGTAATGAAATGTCTACAAGAAAACAACCATCATTGGCACACCATAAAAATCAAAAGCTCTGACTACTAGAAGTGTATTTCCAGGATAGGAAGTTTACCTAAGATGCATCTTGCTAAGTCTTGTCCCAACCTTCGAATGGTAATAGAAGAACTGGGAAAGAAAATACTGTGGTCCATCAGCTTCTGGCAGCAGACTGGATGCTAATACTGGTTTGGCTTAACCTTTAAATAAATATACAGTATGCAGCTGCTTAAGTCTGTTTAATACACTGTCGTAAGAGAGATGAAAGCAGATATTGAGGAAGAATTTGTAGAAGAAAGGCAATAGTGAAAAGAGTATAGATATAAAAACTGTAGCATGATAATGGTTGTGTTCATTTGGTCATGGGACACTTCTTACTTCAGCCGCTGTATTTATGCAGTTTGTATATTGTTCTATATGCTTTTGCATAGTCTTTAATTGCTCATAGTCACCCAAAGACATAAATTTGAACCAAGTGGCCATATAAATTGTATAAATCGAGTGGCATTTTAACCATCACAAGATTTTGTGTTGTTTGTGCAGTTTTTATAAAACCGCAGTTTCAAGAAAGAGTACCTTGGCAAACAGAAGAGAAAAAAGTTATCTTTTGTTAGCATAGAGACCTCATTGTCTTGGAAGATTCCTAGAATTCTACTTAAATCTGTTTAAAATTATGACTTTGCTACTTGTGATTTACAAGTGAATTGTTTGACATAAAAGTTTTGTTCTGCTACCTGTTGTTACATTTGCATTGTCTCATTTGGTAGAAAGTCCAGTCCGTCTAACAGGTTGTCTTATATTGGGAAGACTTGGGGTGATTGACGGATATGTTCCTCTCTAGAAGTCTAAAAAAATATGTCTTGAGAGTTGACTGAAGGATTTTCTAAGATCATTGCCTTCCAGACTACTTTTCCCAGATATAGATAAATAGAAGACTGTGGGTGCTTCTTTTGCATCGTTTTTAAGAAGTATGCACAGCCCCCCCCCAAATCATCATGGGTAAAGAAACTCCAGGCCATGTGGCCTCAGTTGCTCTTCCTGTTATCTGTTGAACTGCCTGCTGCTCCCTCTGTCTTTTCTTGGAACCAAGCAATCTATTCTTGATGGGCAGCAAACAAGACAAAGACTGAAAATTTACTTCTTGCAAAGAACACAAAGTTTTCTATTACGGGGAGAGATGCTACAGAGCAAAAAATAAATTGTGGCATACTGTAGCTCATTGTCCTTGATGTAGCCCTGAATAACAAAGTGTCTGAACCTAGAATAGATAATAAGAAATGGAATGTTGGTGACTTTAGCAAATTTTGGGATAAGCAGGCAAGGTTTGCAGGTGGGACAGATTCCAAATTTTCCATTTTCTGCTAAAGGTAACTGGTGAGTTTAAGGCACAATGACATGCCACTCTCAAAAATCTATGGTTTGAATATAGAGGCGTGGGGGGGTTTGCTTCATTATAATTTAAATCCAGATTGATTTGGGTGTGCTTTTTCTTTCTTTCTTCCTTTGCAGGCCTGTTCCAGACAACCAATGAGTATCACCAGTGATGATGTCAGAAAGTAAACCAACCATTTCCTGCCCGTTCCAGTTTTTACAAACTTGTATGATGCAAAGGCTACAATTCAGCATCCCCAAAACATTGATTTTAAAACTGTCTAGATGATTGTTGTTGCTTTGGTTGTGCTCTATGCAAGCAGAAACCTTTTCCAAGGTTTACAGCTGACCTTTGAACAGCATATTCTGTGTTTGCTACAAACCTTGGGAGTTAGCAGCATGGGCAATTCCTGTGTTTGTCGAGAAGACAGTGGGGCAGAAGAGAATGCAGAATCCAGGAATCACCAGGCAGAGAACAGCAGAATGCCTGTACCTGAAACGAGGAGCCATCAGAGAGACCCAGTACGGCCCCCCCGGCGGGGGCGGGGGCCACATGAACCCAGAAGGAAAAAACATAATGTCGATGTGTTAGTCCTTGACACACTGGCAGTAATTCGGACCTTAGTAGACAAGTAAGTGTCTGGAGAGCAGTGAGGCAGTGCGTGAACCTGAGTGCGACAGATTCTTCAATTGCTATCTGGAGCCTTCAGAGGGCTTAAGCTCTAGACTTAATGGGGATAAAAATGGGTGTGTTTGTGGCTTCCTTAAGACACATTTTCAGGATGCTGAATCATTCGATGATAACATTGGAAAGTACCTATTGAGGAGGTAGTTTTGGAGAGAGTGACTCTTAACTGAACCCTGACTCTGGTGGCAGATTCGTAATTTCTGCTAACTTTTCAAGAAAGATTGAATGAATTAGACCAGGGGCTCCCAACCAAGGCTGCTCGTACCCCCTGGGGGTGCAAGACGATATTCCAGAGGGTGCAAAAACTTGGGTTTTCAAAATTATAGTGTATCTGCATAATTCATTGCCGTTATTTCAAATTTTTGTAAGGGGTGCGAGAATATATCAGAAGCGTTCTAGTATGGAAAAGGTTGGGAACCACTGAATTAGATACTAAATCAGCCATTTTTGGTCATGCTGCTTGGAGAGTGTGGGAACTGCAGTTCAGTGGTATAGTGAAGCTATTTATGTTTCTTTTGGTTCAGCCTTAGTTTTAATAGTATCTAGTTCTGCTTTAATAACCCTAGTTCTACTTTATACCCTTTCATCTGTCAACGGTGACACAATCAAATTAAGAATAAATAAAATATAAAAGTTGTTAGCAGGCATTAATCACAAGTATACATTGTAGTGAAAGAGGCTAAAGCTGGTTCCACAGTTTTTGAAAGCGCAAACATTCTTGACAGAGGAAAGAATGTGTGTTACTAATACTTGTAAATACTCTTGGGATCATTGCATAAGCCACATTTTCAGGATGTAGATAGTGAATCACTAGATGAAAGTAATTGGAAAATGTCTGCTTAGAAGACAGTTTTTGGGAGAAACCTTTATCCGACTCCTGTCTCTGGAATTTGAGATCATTGCCTTTTATTGCCAAAAAAGGTATAGCTTTGTATGTATCCAGTCACCAAAAGTCAAGCTTAACGAAGAAAACTTTATTTTTTTAACCACAGAGGTGCAGAGCCAGCAAGCTGTGCCCCTCTACTACACCTCTATTGCACCAGCTTCTAGATGATGTAATAAGATAGGTTACAAAAAGAAGAAGTGATAGAAAAGGAAGAGTACAAAGCAATTTGGGGTTTTAAAAGAAGACTAGATAAATTCATGGAGGATTGGTTTCTGAGTGTCTCTTATCATGATACATGCTATCACTAAGATTAGAATCATACACCCAAAATACTAGGCATTTAGAAAAAGGAGCAAAATATGGCTGTTGTTTCCATGAATTGTTGTTGGCATTTGATTGGTCGCTGTAGGAAAAATACTAGATGAGTAGTTGTTAAGATGTTGGACCAGATCCAGCTTCAAGTCTACCCCCTGCTGTTGAAGCTCACTGGTTTACTAATCAGTGCCCATCCAACTCATCGTTTACTTGTTATGGCGAAGGTAGAAGGAGTGCTATGCAGATTGTCTGAGATGCTGGGAGAATGAAAGAGGCCATTTTAAACAAACTGCAGTGACTCTCTTAACAATTGTGGTAAGAATGGTTGTAAAATGGGGCAAATTTCATGCTTAGCAATGGAAATTTGGGGCTGAATTGTGGTCCTATGTTGAGGACTTTTTTTATTCAATGTGGACAGGTAGAAACGTACCAGCTTGGTAATAATTAACAAGGTTTTTCCTTTTTTTTTTCCTTTTAGTGATCAGGAACCTCCTTATTCGATGATGACCTTGCATGAAATGGCAGAAACAGGTATTTCCTTTCCATTGGGTGGCACTTCAGCTGTCCTTTGCTGAAATAAACTTTTCACTCTGGGAAAAAGTACAGAGCTGCAGTGTGTGTTTATTAAGTGAGGCTGAGCAATTATTTCAATGATACCTCTGCCTGACAGCATGCTTGGTAAAATAAAGTAACTATTTCTTTGATAAGTGTACCTGTTTAATCTGGATAAATTTATGAATTGTGCTGTTGGAAAAATCAGCCTGCCAGGTGACTTATTTTGTTTCTACCATGACCGAGTCAATGGTCTTGGAATCACCAAAGGAGCAGCTACATACTTTACATCGAAATGGAAAAGATCGTTGTAATTAAAAACCAAGAAGGTTTGCGGGAGCAGGGAAGGCCTCCAGTGTGTACTGATACCTCTAGATTTTCCTTATTGTGTTGAAAACAAAAAAGCAGTTTTAAATCAGGGTAATCTTCACTATGTTTTGATCTGCGCTGTGCTTTGCAAAATCTCTATCATTATTTTCTTCCCGTTTTCTCCTAGCAAGGAACTAGGAGACGGGACCAGATTAAAACACTATCCCTGACTAAAGTGGTTATAGCAATTCTTACAGCATATGAGAATGCAAAGTTCCCTTTTATGACTAGCAATTCATCATGACTCAGTGTTCTGTATATGTTGTGGGAAACATGACTGGCTGCCTCCGATTTGCTGAGCAACATAGTCTAACTGGGTATGACTATAGCGTGCACCCTCCCCCCCCCCATCATTTCTACCTCCAACTTAGGGTGAAGCAATGTATTTTTTTTTATCTTTGACTCCCGTTAAAACCTCAGACAGAATTTGGGGCTTTCAAAATGAGATCGAGGAGTCAATGTGCTTGAATTTCGTCTCTTGTGTAGGTTCCAATTCCCTCAGCTTTCTTTGGATAATTCACTCTCTCAGCCCAATTTACCATATAGAATTATGGTTGTGGGTCAAAAGCAAGAGGAGAGAGAGCACAATAAAAGTCTCCTTGAGCTCCTGGATATAAAGGGAGTCCTCGACTTATAACAGTTCATTTAGTGACTGTTCAAAGTTACAATGGCTTATGACCATTTTTCACAGTTACAACCTTTGTAGCATCCCCATGACCATGTGATCAAAATTCGGATGCTTGGCAGCGGTTTCATACGTAAGACCATTCCTGTGTCCCAAGATCATGTGGTCACCTAGTGCAACCTTTTGACAAGCAAAGTCAATGGGGAAGCCAGATTCACTTAACAACCGAGTTACTAACTCGTCAACCGCAGTGATTCACTTAACAACTGTGGCTAGAAAAGTTGTAAAATAGGACAAAACTCACTTAACAAATAGCTCACTTAACAGCAGAACGTTGGGGCTCAATTGTGGCCGTAAGTTGAGGACTACCTGTGAATCTAACAAACAAGATGGCTTCAGCAGAAAATGGAGATATACTTTCCCATCCCACACACAGTAAAGAGAGCAGAATCTGACCCTACAGGAATTGTAGAAACTCACTCATAAGTTTTGCATGCAGTAAAATGCATTGTCTTCAGTGGAGAATATTGTGCTCCACAACTGATTGTGTGTGTCACTTGTGGAAGCTGTCAAGTTCTGTCTCCAGCACCATTTGCCAAAAACATCTTGGGTTCCACAATGTTGTGTAGCTGTATTTTGTACAAGGGGAAATTTGCCCTGGCATTCTGTTCTGGTATGACGAGTATCTGTCTTGTCTCCAAGAGGCACTAATTTTGTCCTGCCATTCCGCTGTGGATCAACAACCGATCGTTTATTTTTAACATATGTCTGAGACTATTTATCCCATTGAATTATTCAAATGCTGATGAAATCCTGCTTTTGATTAGTGGCATGTCTCTTTATTTCTTTAAGTTAAGATATTTGCTTTTTATTCTTTGGTGGCTGACAGATGAAGGATGGCTGGAAGTTGTCCAGTCCTTAATAAGAGTTATTCCATTAGAAGACCCCTTGGGACCAGCTGTTATAACTTTACTCTTGGATGAGTGCCCATTACCAACCAAAGTAAGTTAAATATATAGATTGGTCAAATAAATAACTGATTACATTTATAGCGTGTAGCAGCAGCAGTTCTAAAGCAACCACTTTAGAAGTCTGCTTTTTAATCTCTTTGATTTTAATCTCCTTTAGAAGTGTGCTTTTTTTTAAAAAAAGCAGGTCTCAAATGAATAAAATATCTCAGGGTGGTTGAATGGGAGATGTTTGTCAGTTTTATATCAAAAATATAACTTGGATAAAAATTCAGAAGAAAATAAAAAAAATCAGTGATTCAAACCATATGTTCTAGCAAAACCAATTTAATATTAATACAATATGTACCTTTCATAGTAGATCACAGTGTAATGTGTCCTCAGAGTAATGCTAAATATACGGATATTGTTTATATAACTAATTTTCTAAGTTCTATATTATATTATTCATTTTAATTCATCTATCATCACTAGTTGTTCATATAAAAAAACCCTATAATTTGTTCCTTGTTCATTTTAGTTGTTTTTGTATCCTATTGCTATAGACCTTATAGATAAGTTTTTTCTCATAATATTAAAATATCAAAAGTATTCGCAGTCCAATAATAGGAATCGAAGAACTTTTGCTTTTAATTTTCTGTTTTTTTCTCTCTAACTTTGAAAAGCTGATAATTCTATTATAAAATGGTCTAAAAAGTTATCTGCTCTGAATAAATAGGATACCATTTAAAAAAATTAACTAAATCTTAGATAGAATTCAGTATTTGAACATGTAATTTCACAAACTGTGTTTGTGATACATATAAAAACAAAAACAATAGAAGTTTGAAGCAGTTTCAAAATGGTTACATTTGCTAACTGCTTATCAGGCAATTAGATAATTTATCTTAGACAAATGCTGAGATACGAATGGAATTGAATGTTCCTTTCGGTGGTCTGACATTTCAACAGCCTGCTCCTTTTCCTGTGTAGGATGCATTGCAGAAATTGACGGAAATATTAAATTTAAACGGAGCAGTGGCTCTCCAGGATGCCTGTCATCCTGCCAAGCATCGGAACACCACTGCAGTCCTGGGCTGTTTGGCAGAAAAGCTCGCAGGTAACGAATCTGGGATGTCTTTCTGTCTCTTTGGGGAGGTTATAGTTCAGTTCCTTAGGATTCCTCCACACACCGCTGTTGTTTCTAGGTTTTACAGCTTCACCTAATCTGTAATAAATATATTGTCTATAATTAGACGTCTGCTCATAGAGCTTCCTTCAGATGACATGACAGTATTTTAATCTCTTTCAATTAATTTGTAATTTCTGTTGCTGTTTGCCAGAATGCAGTACAGCCAGTGGTGGGATTCAAATATGGGAACAACCGATTCTCTGTGTGGATGCCACTGCCAGAAGTCCATTCTGGGCCTGGGCAACCAAAAATTAGCTACTGGTTCTGCCAAAGTGGTGTGAACCAGCTGAATCCCACCACTGAGTACAGTGGTTTATGGGTGGTAGGAGTGAGGTGTTTACATATATGTCCTCTATCTACTATTCTTCCTTTGAATCCCTCTTATATGGCAATATCTACTGAGGGGAAGTCTGGAACTTGATTCGTTGGGAGGAAGGCGAGAAACAGAATGTCACTATTGAATTTAGCCAACTGTTTTAGATGGACAGACAAGACTGGAGGTGTCAGATTATGTAAATCACTTTGTGTGTTGCTCTGTATTCTTCTGTGGTAACCAGAGAGAGAAAACATATAGTTAAAAAAAACATGGTCACAGCTACACCTTCTTTGCTGGAGGCTCCTCCCTTCCGTAAAACGAGAGAGCTGGAAAGGCAGTTTCAGGATCCTAAACGTTTCTGAAGAGACTTCTTTGAACAATGTAAAACAGCACCTTCGATGCACGTGTTTCATTTTTAGTGTTTTTACAGGCCCGGCAAGTGTAGGTTTACTCAGCCAAGGAATCTTGGAGTACTTGTTGCAGAGCTTGGTGAGTACCAAAATAAATCAGTATTCTAAGTATTGTGTGTCAGCATGGAAGGGATTTCTATGCCCTGATCTCATGTAGTCTTGTGTCACTAAAAAAAAAGAAGCCACGGCATAGTGTCTAGCCGTTGCAGTTATTTTTCAGTGTCATAGTGAAGGTTGACAGGCTTTTGTAAAGAAGAAGATAAGACCCGTAGTTCAGGAGTAGCATGTCTGCTTTGGGTACCGACTCCCTCCAAGCCAGTCTCTCCATGGTTACTGCCAAACTTTTCAAAACCCGCTCTTGATGCAGTTAATAATATTTTTGCTAGCTAGATGGACCAGCAGTCCAGCTATATAGGGCAGTTCGAATGTTATCATTTAGCGAAACAGTCACATAACTACTAACATATTTTCTTGGGCAAAACACAGACGTCATGCTCACTTGATCCACCATCCTATTTTTGCTTTTGGTGAATTTGTATATGTAATTGTAAATAAAATCTGAGAATCATGCTAGCTTCAGCTGTAAGAGCAATACAGAAATACCTCCAGCATGTAAATTTAACAACCTTTTATCTTTTAAAGTAGTCAGGCAACATGTCTTTGGAAACTTAAGGGAAAGTACCTATAAAATTATTACTTAAGTGCCACTAAAAATACTTGTGCATCTACTGCATTCTTTTCTTTAATCATAGATCAACTAAACAGGGTTGTGTATAGCATTGTAATATAAGGATTCTGTCTTTTTTACTTTTAGCATTAGCATTGAAGTCACTGTTATTTTACTTAAAATCCATGCCTACTTTTCTTCACTTCGGCAGTATAATTTACATGGGGAATCTCATCATTAGTCACACTAAAGCTTCAGAAGGGACTGTTAAAATGAAAAAGGCCCCTCCTTCAGCCTTGCCTGGAGGCTGCAGAGAGATGGCTAAAGATATCAGGGTAGGTGGGCCTGGAATCAAAACCTTAATGGCCCCATTTAATATTTAATCCTTCCCTCAAAGAGATAAATATATCTGAATTGGGCTGAAGGAGGCTTGAGGCGGTACTGACATTCTGGAAGAGGTGCCGAAGACTGCAAATGCGATGGTGTAACTCAGAGGTCCCCAACCCTTAGGCCGTGTCCCACTGCCGGCCACGGTCCTGTCAGTACCGGGTCACATGAGCAGTGGGCAAGTGTGTGTGTGTGCACGCACGCTCCATTTGCATGAATTGTGAGCACTTGGAACCATTTCCTCTCCCTCCCCCCCACCCCGCCCTGCAAGCCAAAAAGGTTGGGGACCGCTGGTGTAACTTACCTCTGCACAACTTATGGTTCGGATGAGGAAGCGGCTTTAGTAGTAGCTCTCTTCTTTGCCATTTCAGTCTTCCCTTTTTTGAGTGGGGAAGGGAGTGGGTTGTCCTGTAGCTAGAACTTCTGGCTTTTTCACTTGCTAAACCAGAATAGTTATCGTATTTCCTTTTGTGTAGGAAAACAGTTTGTATTGATGCCTGGATCGCTGAAGCGCAAGCCTTTGTCTTCAGGCTATTTTTATTGTGTTTAAAGAGTAATTTTTCTCACACACACCCCCCACAAGCTTTTTTTTTCCTATGTTGGAAAAAATCAACCAGCGCTTGATTGTTGAAGACAACTTTGGGGAATATTGAATGTAATAATTTACCTTCTTTATCTTAGGAGTTCCAGTCCCACCCGACAGTCATGCTTTTTGCACTAATCGCCCTGGAGAAGTTTGCGCAAACAAGTAAGCGTGCTCATTGGAAATGCAGAGTTAAAAACAAAGCGGATCCTAGGATAGGCTATTATGTGGGATATTTTAGTTACAGTATTTTGAGCATTTATATGGCTGCCAAATCAAACAGCGTGACTTTGGCTAGCATACAAATAACCCCAAAGATAACAACATGTACCATTAAAAACCAATTAAAATAATAATAACATGCAAGCAGGACTAAAATACACTACATTATAGCTCACCCAGAGAGCCAGTTTAGTGCAGTAATTGAAGCATTGGGTTACAAAATGGGAAGCTACGAGTTCTAGACTTGCATTACACATGAAGCCATCTGAGTGACCTTGAGCCAGCCAGTCTCTCTTGCCGTAGGAAGGAGGCAATGGCAAACAGTTTCTGAAATCTGCTCTGCTCACCCTGACCCAAAGGTCTTGGGAAAGGACCAGGTCTCAACAGGCATCATCAGTGTTTTAAGCAAATACCAGCAAGTAGCAATTTGTGTGGGTGCCAAGATCTCCTGGTTGCTGCTCCTTTTCACACCACTGGAGATGGGGCAGTGGAGAAAGCAGGAAGACTTGTCGAAGGACAACATGAGCGTTGAATCCTCAGCCATCCCTCGATGTGGCCTTCAGGGGTGGAGGATGACAAATTCTGTCATTCCTCTGAACACCTTGAGGGTGTTGTTGAGGACTCCTTTCCCAAGTTTCAAACCTGCAAGGGACTAATTCGTTGTCAAGAAATGGGGCAGAACTGATGTGCCTCTAGCTTGACCTGCATTGTCTGCGTTCAAAATATGCACGTCCTAAAGAAGAAAATGGATAGCAAAATCAAGAGGCCACTGAGCTGAACTTGGCTCTTGATGGTGACTCCAGCTGGAGTTGTTTTCTTGGCCTCTGGGCCTGTCTGTCTGCCAGCAGCTACTAGCTGCTGAAGCTTTAATGGATTATGGTATAATTTATATAGTATGAGAACGGGGAATACGGGGGGGGGGGGGGAGAAAAAAGCACAAAAGCCCTTTTTCCTCGTGGAAATGCTGGCTCTTTAATGATCACCATTTTTTTTTTTCATAATTGTGAACGTATTCCAACTCTAGGTGAGAATAAAATGACAGTTTCTGATACCTGCATCAGTGATCAGCTTGTTTTGTTAGAGAAATGGACCAATAATCCAGACTACTTAAAACGCCAAGTTGGATTCTGTGCTCAGTGGAGTTTAGACAATCTATGTAAGTAATAATATTTTCCTACTGTGAAGTGATAATGTTTGAAAACAGCATGGTTATTAGAAGTGTCTAATGTTTGCAGCAAAAGTAACAACCCTTAAAACTAATATGTTTATAAAATAAACTGGCATATTCGTTTCATCAAATGTTTGCGGTGCAATTCCTGAGTGGTATATAAGCGGCGTGCGTGTCCTTACATGTGTAAGACGCAGCAGGAGGAAAACTGAGGGAAGCAGCAGTTAATACAGTTATTTATTTTATTTTATTTTTATTTATTTTTCATATTTTCCAACCAGCCATCTCTGGGTGGTATACAACAAAGTAGTAAAATATAAACATTTGAAGCTAAAAAATTTTTTTTTACAAAGGGGTATAACACAGATATTCCTGTTTATACTTAATACAGCTATGTCTCTGTTAAGCCATTAGTATTAAATCTTTTGATGAACTGTAGTTCTGGAATTTCTGTTTGAAAGTGCCTTGATCATACAAGAATGGCAATCTGAAGGGCCAGCTTGGGACAGCTACTACTGGATGGGATAGCCTAAAATACTCAGTCACTGATTTATCAATCTTGAAAACTCTTGGTGCATCTGAGCTGTGCTTCAAATAAAATAAATTCATAATAACTTGGTGAATATTTAAGGTGCCACCTTCTATGTTTTACACTTAAGCAAGAAAGAGGGTGGGTACCAGGTGAGAACAACGCACAGTATGAGAGGCAGGGTAGTATAATAAGTGGAGGTGTTGGACTAGGAGCAGGGGGTTAGGGTTGTGATCTGAACGAAGACAAAAAGTAAGGAAACATACGGATAGAAACGTATTTGTTGAATACTTTTGTTTTTAAGATTTGCTTTGCTAAAGCCTTCCCTTTAGGAAATTAGCAGCAAGCTGGCCTATTCCTCAAGTTGTTATGAATGCCTCCTTATGCAAACCTATTCGTCCAGGAGAAGTAGGAGATGTTACTAGGAGTGGTTAGGGAACATTTACAGAACCGTCTTGTTCTGGCATACTTAGGAAGCCAGCCTGTGATTATAGGTTTCTTTTATCCTTGACTTCTTTCATTGCCCCCTTCTGAAGTCTGGAATTTATTTATTTTTTTTGGACATCTGAAAAGAAGGTGCCCTTTAATCTGCCCATAAAGATAAGAGTCACTTGGATCAACAGCAGTAGCTCAGTTGCTGGTGGAAGTTGAGTCATGGAGCATATGAGGTCCTGTCCTGAAAAAGCTGCATTGACAACCAGGTTAAAGCCGAGTTCTCAAGGGCTGGCTTTAACCTTTTTCAAGCCTTGCATGGTTTAGCTACAGGCCTGTCCACCTCCTTCCTCAGCCTTCCGGGCTCTGCTGTCCTTGAGTGGCACTTGGTCCTCCATGGAGATTGAGCCAGGCCATTTCATATTTCCTTTAATTAAATTAATTCTCTCCAGCTGCATTTCTCCAGGTCTTGCAGCTCATCCAAATATTTCACTGACGCACTATTGTTGTGAATTTTAATTCTTCTAAATCCGTATTGTTTTTAGCACCTGTGCTTAAAACATAATATTCTTTTGGTTACAGAGCAGACATATTATTACTAACGGTGATCATTAGGGCACGATATACCATAAATTGGGAAATTAGACAAATAGAAATAATACATTGTTTTGTTATGGAGCAGAGGGCCCCCAAACTTGGCAAGTTTAAAACTTGTAGACTTCAACGCCTAGAATTGACATGTAGAAATCATAGTCCCTGGTTTGGTCTTCTTTTGACATGCTAAAATTGGAAGGCAAGCTAACGACTCCAACTTGTTAGAAGAAAAATCAGTTAAGGATTCCCATTTGCACATAATGCTAAACAAACCACAGATGGAGCAGTTGTGCTTAATTGCTTTTGCTGGCAGAAGACAAGCAGGAAGCATTTCGCATGTGGGCTCATTCCTGTTAAGCCCAAACTCTAAAGAATTCGGGCTTTGAATGCCTGTCGTTTAAAGGGATAGTTGCTTATTCAGAAAGGACTTGATTCATTCTTAAAAGGCCGGATTTGAGCAGCTAAATTCAGCTTTCTAGGCTACCATTTCTACATTGCTGGGACAGCCTTTATAATCTTTTCTCTTGTTTCCTGCAGTTTTGAAAGAAGGCAGACAGTTTACCTACGAGAAAGTCGACCTGGCCAATGTGAGGGCTATGCTGAATAGCAATGATGTCAGTGAATATCTGAAGATCTCACCGCATGGGTTGGAGGTAGCCTTGTGTGTGTGTTTTTGTGTATTGATTAGGAAATATTGTTGTGCCTTCTCCACTTCCCTGAATAAGTCTAGACTAGAGGGAGGGAGTTTCCATGAACTAAAAGACATATTGTTTTCATAGCGTATATTTTAATTATTTTGCTTTTAACTCAAATCAGACAGGATTTTAAAAAAAAAAAGATTTCTGTGTAATTCATGGAGGAAAGTGCAAACTATAAAGGCATGCTGGGTAAGATCTGTAGCTCTTTGGAGACACAAAACAAATACACCTTTCTCGATTGTCTCACCACATGGATCTTAGCTTGAGAAAGGGAGATGGGCCCTCTTTATTAATAAGTGCATGGAGGTATATACATGCAGGAAGGCCTCGGCTTATTACCGTAATTGGGACCAGAATTAATTGATAACCGGGGGGATGGCTGGGGAAAAGGGAAAGCTAGTCGTATCATTTTGCGCACGAAAAAGCCAGATCCAGCTTCACTACTTCTGTAACCACCTAAGCTTTAGTAAAGTTTACTCTTGGTAAAACAATGGGCCAGGGTCTTTCTTTGCTAGAGGACTGAGTGGGACATGTCTCCTGGATATTCTTTGCACATCTTCCATCCTTTCTGAATCAGATGTTAAGTGATCTGCCACACATCAGTGCTGTCCTCTCCAGCTCCAAGCCTCAAGATGAATAATATTGCAGCACCCTGGATTCCTAGCCAGCCTGTTGACTGTGCTGGTTGAGGTTGATGAGACTGACGGTTCCCAACAAATAGGGGATTAACACGTTGGGAAGCTGAGCGCTTTAAGGTGCCCTTGGGCGCTCCCAGTTGTGCCCAGTTTGAACATGGACTTTACTTTTTTTTTCCTTCCACGTTTTTGTTTGCTAGGCCCGATGCGACGCTTCGTCTTTTGAAAGTGTCCGATGCACCTTCTGTGTAGATTCCGGAGCTTGGTACTATGAAGTCACGGTCATTACCTCCGGAGTGATGCAGATAGGATGGGCTACTAAAGACAGCAAGTTTCTCAATCACGTAAGTGCTACTTTCTTCAGCGGGAATCTGCCTGCCAAACTGAACAGGCACCGGACAGGTCTCCCTATCCCAGTGGTGGCAAACCTATGGCATGGGTGCCAGAGGCGGCACTCAGAGCCCTCTCTGTGGGCACGCGCGCCGTCGCCCCAGTCCTAGGCCTTCAGCTGGGTTTTATAAAACCTTTTTGATTTAGGCCTCCGCCGCCGTGTGCAAAAAAAAAAAAAGTTCAATCAAATCAGTCAATTTCAACTTCTCGCGGGAAAAAAAAAGATCTTGCAAAGTTGGAATTGATTGATTGAACTTTTTAGTCCCACCCAGTCTGTCGTTACCACCACAGCCACACCCAGCCAATGGGCCACACCCACTCAATTGGCCACACCCAGCCAATGGGCCACACCCACCCGGCACCCGACGATGCATAAGTGGGTTTTGGGTTGCAATTTGGCCACTCGGTCTCTAAAAGGTTTGCCATCACTGCCCTATCCTCTCACATCTTCATCCCACCTCCGAAAGTCTGGCTTGAAAGCAACTTACCTGGATCGTAGTCTTTGTGGCATGTCTGCTGAACTACCTTCCCTAGAATATTTTCCTGGATTTTGCTGTACAAAGTATTTGTAGAAGCCAAGTAATCTTTGACTTCTGGTCATCTCTTGCAGGGCCATGGTGAGTCATTCGCCCTGCTGGTATTGCTCTTCAGGCCAGCTGATGGCCATTCATAAGGGGGGGGAGGGCTCTGGACAGGAATTTGGGGGAGAGCAGTTCGGATCTCTGCTCATCTTCCAGGCTCCTTTGGCAAGCTTGAGTTTTCCCGTTTCTTTCAGCTTAAGCTTTACTTTGCAGCAGGTCTGACCGAGACACAGACAGTTCTCTTGCTCTGCTTATCTTCCAGTAATTGGTTAGATCAGAACACAAGCTGACAGTTAGAACAATTAATCCGTGGAACAACCTGCCTCCAGGAGCTGTGAATGTTGAGATTCTCCTGATTGTTAGTCAAATAATTGTGTAGGCGGAGCGTGACGCGTCCTTTAAATTCTTAAGAGGTGCAATTAACTTAAACACTGTTTTTAAATTAAAAAAAGGTTAGAAAAACTCTTTAAGTGGCTCTGGGTCAAATTCAGAGAACGAAATACTCTATTCTCTATTTCCTGAAGGAAGGTTATGGTATTGGGGACGATGAATACTCCTGCGCTTACGACGGCTGCCGGCAGCTGATCTGGTATAATGCCCGAAGTAAACCACATTCCCACCCATGCTGGAAGGAAGGTATTATTATTGTCCCACCTTTTTTCCCCCTCATTGCTGATGTTGTGTCACCCTGCAGTTGGCCCTTGTTTTCTGGTAGCCTAGAATGTGGAGCACAGACAATCCTCTAATTTTCAATGCTAGGGAAATCTTACCAGTGGATGGAACCAATTGCAAATAAGTGGCTTCCTTTTGCTCTAAGTCAGGGGTGTCAAACTCGCAACGCCACGTGACGTGTTGCAATGTATTGCAACTTTTTTTCCATTGCCGGCAATGGGGTGGGCGCGGTTTTAGCGTGACGCATCCGGCCCATGGGCCGGCAGTTTGACACCCCCTGCTCTAAGTGTTCAAGCAGAAGGTGGGCAGCCATTTTTCAGGGATACTTTAATTCGGATTGCTGCGTTGAGCAAAGGAGTTGGGCTCAGTGGACCCTTTCTGTCTGGGATTCTAACACAGAGACTTAAAAATGGGGGGAAAAAATGTCATGAAATAGATTTTTGAACAATGGAGCAAGATACCTGCAGCTGCAGGAGTCTCCCTCCCCCAGTAAATCTTTTTTATGGGAATATCTGTACACCTGTTTCCTGTGCTTATTGTTAGTTCAGCACTTCCGCGGTGATCTTGTGAGTTCAGGAGGCCTTCCTCCATGGAAACAGGGTAAATTGCAAATACTGTAGCTAATGAGTAGGCTAATGTTTGGTAGGCAGAATAAAACCAATAGACTGCGTGTTGTGAAGATGGCAGTGGACTTTGCAGCAAGCCTGAATTTGTCAGCCATTTATGGCACTGCTGCATCTCATGAACATCAGATTGATGGGAGCCATACTTCTCTTAATATATCAAACACATTAAGACATAAATGTATTAATTCATCTTGGATGGAAATTTGCAGCATCCCTCCATATTACAGATTGTAAATAGTTTTTCCAAAGAAAACATGTACCTGCAGTTAAATTCTGTGTAGCTTTCTAAATCCTTTTTTTAATATGGTGAAATGCTTTGGATGACAATGCTGCTAGTAATTCAACTAGTAAATCATGGTTGGCATGTCAGAAGCCAACTTCAGAAATAGGTTCATTCTTTCCGCCTCTTATTGTTATCTCCCTGCATTCCCCTATTTCTAGAGTAACTGATGTCAGTTCTGGTGCCGATTTAACTTTTATCTTAACCAGGATTTGAACCAGGCTTACAAATCCTGATTAAGATAACTCCTGGTGTTGGTAGCTTTCTTGGTTGTGGTTAGATGGAATAAACATGGTTATAACTGCTAAAAGGAGAAGGACAGCATTTATTCTAAGATACTGTCCCTGTTTGCAAGGCTGGCTCTTAATTTGCAAACATGTAATTTATAGAGAACAGTCGTATATCTCCTCCACATATCTGAATATTTATTAAAAGATTTTTATACATAGGGATAGAAACACACAAAAGTGGGGAAGGTGGAAACATGAGTCCACAGATCGTTTCAAACCCCTTACACAGCATGACTGGGTGTTATGGGGAACACAAATGTAACCGAACTGAAATGGATTTGGGGCTCTTTCAAGTAATTGTCAGATAAGACCTGAGGCTGCCTATTCCTCTTTTGCAAGGCGCAGCGATGGCGTCTTGGTGGTATCTGTGTTGCCATAACTTGTTTTCTTATGTTAACCAAGGTGACACTATAGGATTTTTACTGGACTTGCAAGAGAAGAAGATGGTTTTTTATTTAAATGGGCACCAGCTTCCTGCTGAGAAGCAAGTCTTTTCATCAGCTGTGTAAGTACGTCCTTCTGAGGGTGACGTCCATTTCATCTTTGCAGAATTAGGAATAAATATTTCGTAAAGTAAGACTTGACCTTGAGGAGGACCAAAACCTGATGTAACCGAAGGAGCCCAGCTGTATATACAGATTGCTCTAATTCAGTGGTTCTCAACCTGTGGGTCGGGACCCCTTTGGGGGTCGAACGACCCTTTCACAGGGGTCGCCTAAGACCATCTGAAAACACATATTTCCGATGGTCTTAGCAACCGAGACACCGCTCTTGTATCTCCTTTCCCTCCTCTTCCTCCTCCCCTTCTTCCTCCTGCTGCCCCCCCAGGCGGCTCGGACGGGCGCCGGGACAAGCTGGATGGGGGGTTGGGGGTCACCACAACATGAGGAACTGTATTAAAGGGTCACGGCATTAGGAAGGTTGAGAACCACTGCTCTAATTCATACAAAATGTTAATCCCCAATGAGGATTTATTGGCTTGTGTTTTAACTAAGCATGATGGGTAAACCCTCTCATTTTGATTTAATACAGTATTAAATCACGGGGACTTGTGTAATAAATCATGTTTTTTTAAAATTCTTGGATGTGAACACTACGGTAGCATGGCTTTGCTTTGGCCTTTTGAAATAGTTCTTTTATTTTCATGTGCAGCTGACCCAGTTCTCATATTCTTCCTTCCCTTCCTCCACCAGCCTATTTTCTGGGGAGATCCTTGTTTTGTGTTTTCTGTGACTGTTTTTCTGTGCCTACTGAGTTTTCCCAAAGCCTGTCTCGAGGCTTCTTCCTTAATGGGATATAGCAATTTTGAATTTCCAGTCCCCGCAGCTAAGAAAAGGAGAGACAACAGCTCAAAGTGACACGTTAACAACTGTTGCAAAAAAAAAAAAAGATAATAAAATTGGGTCAGTCACATGGGTGACCTGATTTACCACCATCACACGTTATGACCGTGATGGGCAGGCTCCATTACAATCATAATTTGAGGACCACCTATGTGCTGTCCTCAACTTACAACTCTAATGGGGCCTGCCCATCACGACCATGAACTTGTGATGGTTGTAAATTGGGTCACCCTTTTTGTGGCTGGGGAATTCTGGGACTTGAAGTCCACCCATCTTTCAGTCGCCTGGGTTGAGAAACATTGATGTAGAGCATGTCATTCAACCCATGCTGATAAAAATTAGTCCCAGCCACAGAAGTCACCTGTGCCTTCAAAAATAAACACCACACCCCCAGCTGTGAATGCCACTCCCCTGATGGCATTCTTTCTCTTAAAAGAAGTGTTGGGTGTGATAAAGGTTGTAGTCCAGGCTTTGGAGAGCCACAAAAGACACAACAGCCATTGTCTGGCTTTAAAAATCATGGGTATTTCACTATGAAGAACTAACTGCAACAGGTAGCTTGTATTGTTGGACTGATATTTTTTTTNGTGGAACAACCTGCCTCCAGAAGTGGTGAATGCTCCAACACTGGAAGTTTTTAAGAAGAAACTGGACAGCCATTTGTCCGAAATGGTATAGGGTTTCCTGCCTGAGCAGGGGGTTGGACTAGATGACCTTCAAGGTCCCTTCCAACTTTACTATTATTATTATTATTATTATTATTATTATTATTATTATTATTATTATAGTTGTTAACCGAAACGGCTTAACAGTTAAAAGAACTGTGCAGTTGTTAAGTGAATTTGGCTTCCCCCGTTGACTTTGCTTGTGAGAAGGTTGCAAAAGGTAGTCTCACCTGATCCCGGGACACTGCAACCGTCATGAATACCTGCCAGTTGCCAAGCGGCTGGATTTTGATCACGTGACCGAGGAGATGCTGCAACGGTCGCAAGAGTGAAAATTGGTCCTAAGTCACTTTTTTTCCAATGCTGTTGTAATTTTGAATGGTCATAAATGAACGGGTGTTAAGTCAAGGACTACCTGCACCCCCACCCAAGCAATTTTCAGCATTGTGTCCAAATCAACACTGTGGTAGACAGGACGTTGTGTTGCAAACCCTGCCTGTGCCTCAGTGACGGGTCTTGCCTCACACCACTCCGATCACCATCTTGCTGACACGCAGCTTTACCGTGCAAGAGAGGAAGGTGGTTTTTGTGTGCTGCTTTCCTGTTAAGGTCTTGCCAGCTGTTGACTAACCTGTTGGGAGCTGTTCTCATTTTTGGAGAGAGACGTCATGTGGGTGACTCACCCCACCCACAGCCTGAGAAGACCTGATTCCTTCTCTTCCTCAGGGCTCTATCCCATTTATTGATTGATTTATGTAGCCACCCATCTCACCAAAGGCACCAGAGTTAAACCAAGGATTATAACCCCTCCCTCTAGCAAATTCAAATATAAAAACCATAATGTAGATATCCGAAAAAACCAAAATGGAGGGAGAATAAAATGGATCCCTCAGCAATGGAGTCATCAAGAGGGAGCCTCCAGCTGTTCGTTTCCCCATTCCCAATTATCCCCGGATTAGATCTGCTAAGAGGAAGTAAATGTTGCTTGCTTAAAATCTGTGCCAGTGTTTCTCAACGTTGGCAACGTTTAAGATAGATGGACTTCAACTCCCAGAAGTCCCCAGACAGCTGTTGTGCTGTCTAGAGAATTTGGGGAGTTGAAGTCCCATCTATCTTAACGTTGCCAACGTTAAGAATCCCTGATCTGTGCATTCCCACTTCCACATGATAAGTCCCTGCCCTAGAATGCGCCGTAGTTCCTTAGTTCCTTCCAAATATTTCCTGCAAGGTGGAGGTGCCCAAGCCAGACCCACAATAACCCTCAATGTATTTTGCCCCGTTTTAACCCTTAAGGTTGCTCGCCTTAGTAACCTCTTGCGTTCTTGCCTCTTTTAGCGATCTGTGCATGGAATGTGCCTTGCAACTGGAAACCTGCCCTTTGTGTCGGCAAGAAATTCAGACCCGCGTCCGACAGATCGCTCACATTTCATGACACGGGGAGAAAAGTCTCTTGGGGATTTGCCTCCGGACCATTCCATCCAGCGTCAGAAGAAAGGCAGCTCAAAACGAACTCCATCTCGCCTCCCCCCTTTCCCACCCACCCCCGGCTGAAGCCCAGCCTCATCATCCCCCTAAGGACCAGAGATGGAAGCCTGTTGGATTGTGGCCCTGTCTCGTCATCGCGAGATGCTTTTGTTTAGCAGTCGTGAAAGTTGGTGGTGAAAGCTGACTTAACCGTTTAATTTATCCTCATTCAAGACTGCTAGGGAAGCCGCCTTCATTCCTTCCTCTGGTTAATTTTTGCCTCTCCTTCTCAACTCCTTCCACTTAACACACTGAAGACTTTGCACTGGAAACATTAAATGCATAATCTCCTAAAACGGGGATGTAGCTGTTTCCCAAAGCCTTTGTTTTGGCAGCCATTATGCATTTTTTTTATTATTATTACTTTGTCACTGTAGTTTCCTGCTGGTCAGAGTACAACCCCTCTCTCTATATTTTGGACTGTTTAGCATGGAAATGTTAAAAGAGACTTGAAATCTACATGAAGAAACTGATTTTTGAGGGAAATTGGTTATTTTCATTCGTAATATTTCTAATTCCTTCAATTTCAGTACCTGCAATTTTGTGAAAAAAGAAAAAACTAATTTTCAGGAGGAATTCTTATAAATGCAGCCACAGACTGGAGATAGTTTGATATTCTAGGTATTTTAAGGTACCATTGATCATTGCTTTTTTTTAAAAAAACAACAACAACAAACCCCAATATGTTCTTGCAAGTTCTGTACATTTTGAAAATACTGAGCTATGGATCTTAAGATCTGGGAAGAATATGGAGCAAATGTGTTAATATTGTTTTGAAGAAATACATGTTTGAATAGCAAATTGCCTGATTTGGTTAACTCCTATTTAGGATGATTCTGACTAATTTTTATATTATGGTGTTTGGCTCCCATTACTTCTGTAAAACAGTTGCATCAATCTTGTTCCTAGTTCCTCGTGGATTTCTGAAGTAGCTGAAGTTGTAAGATAATGCAAAGCCATATCAAAATGTTCATCCTGAAATGAAATAAGCTGCGCTGGACCTTAAGAAGGGGGGGGGGATCTCGACTTCACAATTAACTGATTCCTTTCTTAAAATGCATATTATTATAATGTTTCAGATGAGTTTTTGAGACAAGAACAGAATAAAATGTTAGGAAAAGTACTCGGGAAAGACTGAGTAAAAGAAATTGTGTAATCCTCTTTTAAGTTTATGGCTTTGCCACATTTAATGCTAGCACATTTATTTTTACAGAGTCAGGCAAATTGCAACTCTTAACTGGAATCAAAGTTGCCCCCATTTTTGTAATTGCACCACGAAGAGGCCCAGACCCATAAAAAAAGATATAGAAGTGGATGGGGAGTGATTTAACTGTTAATGTTTAACACGTGCAGAGCGGTTAGCGGCTCCCTGCCTCAAAATGGATTCCCAGGTTTAAAATTAGTAGTATGTCAGGAACATCTTATTAAAAAAAATTCTCATGTACAAACATCTCAAGAATGGAATGGAATAGAAAATGGAATGGAATAGAATAGAAAGGAATGGAATGGAATGGAAGAAGAGAAAAGAGAAGAGAATGTCAGAAATGGTGATCACTTGTCCCTGGGACACGGCAACCATTATAAACATAAACCAGTTTTCAAGCATCTGAATTTTGATCACTAAACCAGCACAATATTTCCAGCTGTTAATCAACAGTGGAAGCTGGTTAATGTACAAACTAAAATTGTTCCCGCAACAATTCCTTCCTGTTAGAAAGATTGCCCACCCCAGAATATGTGCCCCTGCTTTGTTCTGCACTCTGCAGTCAGTCAACATTCGTCCTTCGTGTAATAAGCAACAGTTTGATCTGATCGATAGCTACGTGGGTGAAGCAGCGTCTCCTGTCTTCAAAGTACACGACTGATTCATTCTGGTTTGGTTTCAACTCTTTCCTACCCTACAGAACTCAGAGCTGCTTAACGATGAATAAGGAAGATAAATACAAAATTTCAAAACACAAAGCATAAATTTTTAGCGCTGCAGTTTAAATACTAAATATGCTCTTTAAGCAAATCGTTAAAGCAAGGTTCAAAAATTCTAACACGCGCAGTAGAAAGCAGGCAAAAAGGAAGCAGAGGGCTGCCAGTAGCCAGGACAAGAAGCAGCAACCGATGGAAACCGATTAAAGAGAAACTTCCTAACAGGGAGAACAATTAACCAGCGGAACGGCTTGCTACCAGAAGTTGTGAGTGCTCCAACACTGGAGGTTTTCAAGAAGAGACCGGACAGCCACCTGTCTGGAATGGTGTAGTAGGGTCCCCTGCTTGAGCAGGGGGTTGGACTAGAAGACCTCCAGGGTCCCTTCTAGCTGCCCAGGTGATCATTCGTTTCTTTCCATTGGATTCAGACCGTAATAAAAGGGAGGGTGTCTATCCCAAAATGCGGGTGCATTTCATTAGCATACAGCGGACCCCAAATAAATCTGTAGATAGTTAAACAATCTGCTAAGTAGGTTTGCACGAAATTGTTTTAAGCATTTTCACGACTCGCAGACACCGGAGTTTTTTTATTTATTTATATATATATAAATATATATATATATATGTAAATATGTAAATATATATATATGTAAATATGTAAATATATATATATAAATATATAAATATATATATGTAAATATATTTATATATAAACGTCCGGTTTGGCCGCCTCCAACCTCCACGTGTTTTCAGAGCGAGAAGCCCCGCCCCTTCCGCATCTGATTGGCCTTCCTCGGAGAACAGAGAAGCCCCGCCCCACTCGCCTCCCTTCCTCCCGATTGGTTCTCTGGCTGAACCCCGCGCTACCGGAAGTGGCCGTTGCCCGGACGACGAGAGGGGGTAAAGTAGCGGCCCTTTTAACGGACTCGATGGCGGCGGTGGCGGCGCGGCCTTCGCTTCTGCTTTGATCCCGGGGAGCAGCGCGGAGAAGCGGGGAGAGGGCCTCTTGCGCCGCCTGGCCGTCCTGCCCACCCGGGCCGCAGGTAGACTGCGCTTGGAGCGGGAGGCTCCATCTCCCGGATCAAGAGGGGCGCTTCGATGGGAAGAGCCGCTGCAGGGCGGGGGGGGGGCTGCCTGTTTCCCCGGAGCCCCCCTTTGCCCCAGGAGCAGCCCGTCTCTACCGTGAAATCGGTTTTAAATTAAATTATTCCCATTTACTGGGCCGCGTTTCAAAGACTCCCCCCAAAGCCGGAGGGTTTGTTTCTTCTGGTTATTTCCATTAATTTGGCTAATTAATTTAGTATTTCAAAGCTGCCCCAGGCCCAAAGCACTTATTTAGGTTTTGTTTATTTAATCATGTAGCTGCTTGCCCCAGGGCTGAAGGATTTGTTTATCCTGGTTATTTCTATTGATTTATTCATTTATTTAGCAACATTTCAAGGCAGCCCCAGGGCTGAAGAACCTATTAATTATATTATATATATAATTATATATGTTTTTCAAAATTTGGATTGCTAACAAAGAATTAAGGGAGAACTGAAATAGCCATTTCGAACCTGCCCCAGCCTAAAGGGCTCTAGGTTGCCTTTTGCATAGGATGCCTTTTTGACATTTGTTTTATGGCTCTCCCCCTCTGCTGATAGAAGGCCCACAAATCATATAAGCCTTGATACAGGATCCCCATGGGTCAGTCTGGATGCCTTCTTCCAAATGTGTGGATTTTGCCTCTCGGAATTCCCCCTGCTCATTGCTCTCATTACTTGTACGCTGCCCAGAGTTGCCTTTGCTGAGATGGGCAGCGATATAAATTCGATAAATAAATTCTGGAGCTCTTGCATTGCTCAGCCCAATGGCACCCTCCTCATTCATGTCTATGGCAACACTGTAAAAGATTTCCCAAGGAGCAACATTAACATCCTGAAAGATTAAGTAAGATGAGCAGATCTGAACTGTGTAAATATAGGTAGTTCTTGATTTGTCTTTTTAATGAAAAGAAGGCCTAGGAGTGACATGACAGCAGAGTTCCCATATCTAAGGGGCTGGCACAAAAAAGGGGGTCAATCTATTTCTCCAAAGCATTTGAAGGAAGGACAAGAAACAATGGATGGAAACTAATCCACGAGAAAAGCAATCTGGGACCAAGGGTTCTGAGAATGAGTCAACCATATTAAAATCTTTCTTTCATAAATACAGGTAGCAAAGCAAACAATGGAGACTTTAGAAGAAGAAAGTTTTGGTGTATCCATGTAAGTCTATTTCTACTTTTTCCCCATTGCCGGCAATGGGGTGGGCGCGGTTTTAGTATGATGCATCCGGCCCACGGGCCGGCAGTTTGACATGCCTGATCTAGAGACTTCTAATAGAAACCTGGATTAATTCATGTAATTCTTAATCAATTCACTCTAGGGCCCATTTTACATAATGTGCCTTTCACATTCCTTGGTTACTGAAATCTAAATTACTCCTCTCTTATTTTAGCTCATCGCCCTCTGATGCTGAATTTGATGCTATCGTAGGATATTTGGAAGATATTGTAATGGGTGAGTTCTGCTTTAATAGTTAACACTGCCCCCCACCAAAGGCCTTCCTCAGTACTCCAGCCTCACAAACAACAGCTTGTATTTGATTGATAGGCCTAAAAATATATTTTGCCTAATCTCACAGTTATAAATGTAGTCCAAGTCCAGTTCACCAGGAAGACAGCATGAGGAGGAGGAGGAGGCAGCCAAGTCAAACTTCAGTAAGCTCCTTGTACCAAGCCATTATCACGCTTGAGTGATGTTGCTGCAGGAGATACGCCAAGCTAGGCTATTTTCTGCATACTTGGAAGCCTTGCCCTTATCTGAGCATGACCAGCTCTGAGTAGACCTGATTTCTCTCAGAAAGTTTGCCCCTGAGTAATCCCAGGTTTCTGAGCATAATTGATTGTTTCTGTGCCTTTCTTTTGACTCTTCTACCCTCAGCTTCTTCTGAGGACACATGAAGGAAGGCTTCTGGTCTAGGCCAGAGCCCGCTGGGTGGGGTCATCGTCTATTTTTGACTAGGTTTATAAATATTGCTTCTGCCCCAGGATCAGAAGCATCTGCTGACTCCATCCCTTTTGCCAAAATGATGAGAGGGTGTCCAGAGATATGTCTTCTTCTGGCTCTGCTCTTCACCTGAAGAAGACACATGAAGCAGAACCATGATCATCGCTAGGTGGCTGGTTAAAACCTATTAGTTCCAAGTTTGTGGAAGATTTTAAACACATCTTCAGCGCTGCTCATTTTCATGTCTGCTAGACAGATTTGATCTGTGTTTTGTCATTGCGCACATTATCTGGAACAGGGCTTTTTCAACCTGCATGCCAAACCTGACGGGGTTCCATGTTCAGGCAAGCCTTTGGAATGATCAGACAGTCTGCTGAATGCCAATTCGTTCTTCCTCTATAAACCACTCTGTTAATCACGATCAAGGGAACCCTGTTGTAGGCTGGTCAAATTCTCTAGGGAATAGATGTCCCTTCTCCAAGGAGACTTCCAAAGCACTTTTAGGAGATTGGCTTCTAAGAACTCTGGTCCTACAAGAGCTTTCCTAGCTAGCGGGGGAAAAAATGGAATTGGTTGCATAGACGGTACCCTCCCCCCCCCCAAGTTGCAGCTGTGCTGTTGTCATGGCTGACCCAGAGCACAATGTGCTGGATTTCAAGTTGAGTGTAGCAGGCCGAAGAATGGGGTCACTGTTTCAGCTAAATAGCCACCACACTGAGCAGCTGTTTTGTGATTTCAGATGATGACTTCCAGCTAATACAAAGAAACTTCATGGATAAATACTACCAAGAGTTTGACGACACAGAGGAGAATAAACTGGTCTACACGCCTATCTTTAATGAATATGTAAGTTTGTCGTGGTCTTTTTTTTTTTTTGTCTACACAGATAAGATTTTCTAGAGGCCGAATTACTAATTGGCTTGTTTATAAAAGTTTGAACTGGGCAAGAATGGGCAAGGTCTACTGGCTTCAGTCAAATACGAAATAATTTTATAGTGCTAAATAAGGAGGAATACAGTTCGTTTTAAAAAAGAGTAATGTACGATCTATCCAAATTCTGTTTACCAAACTCCCAGGATCTATTACTTACCGAAATGTTTCTCCCTGCCTAGCAAGCTAAGGTCATTTTTCCTCTCCTGCCAGATATGCATTTGCTTCACTAATTTCCTAACTTGCCTAAAGAGGTGGAGAATTTATCTGATCTGATTTCGGAGAGTCTAAGCAAAGTTGCACGTGGGTGGAATTTGTTTGGCACATTGCCGGGAGATCCCAGAGCTGTGGATTTGCTCGGGGCTCAACAAGTGAAACAACATCCAGGGAAAAGGCAATGGCAAACAAGGCTCTCATATTGTTCCCAAAAAGACAGTCTCGATCAGTGTTTCTCAACCTTGACAATTTTAAGGCATGTGGACTTCAACTCCCAGAATTCCACAGCCAGCATTGCTGGCTGTGGAATTCTGGGAGTTGAAGTCCACATGCCTTAAAATTGTCAAGGTTGAGAAACACTGGTCTAGATTGTAATTAGATCTCAAGGAGTTGAGCTGGACTTGAAGGAACTTGACTTTAGCTTTACGTCGCATAATCCACCTTCCATTCCAGTGGAACTCTGTACATCTTGTGCCTTTTATGACCGTTCTTATGTATTCTTATTGCGGAGCCATTGAGAAAGAAAGCACGTTAAACATTGCAGCCTAATTATCAGATAACTACCTTTAATAGCAAATTCAGCAAGCAGGAGGTTTATTTTTTGCCATAGATCCATTAAAGGTCAGGTGTAAGAACTAAATCAGAAGTGTGCACTCTCAATTATCCCTGGGTTTTTTGTTGTTGGGTCCCGAAGCACGGATCCTTGACTTACTGCGTTTATAAAGTCTGTAGAACCCCTTTGTGCTATCCCGCGCAGACACACAAACACATAACACGTAACTGCATCCTGTGGATGGGGCTTCGTTTGTTTGCACGGCCCGGTTGCTGCATGCCGCGGCCCAGTTCTGGTCCACGGACCGGGGGTTGGGGACCCTTGTACTAGGGTACAAGCAAAGCTATTGTTTCTATAGCAGTGTTTCTCAACCCCTGGTCATTTGCAGATGGGGGACTTCAATTCCCAGGATTCCCCAGCCGGGGAGTTGAAGTCCACATAATTTCAAGTGGCCAGGGTTGAGAAACACTGTTCTATAGTGTCTGTTTTAATGATTTTAACCTGGTTTACGACTGCCACAACTGGAGCAGCATAGAAAGGGAAGAAGAAGAAGCCAATAAATAACATTTTCTAATTTTAGATCTGCTTAGTTGAAAAATACATCGAAGCAAAACTCTTGGACAGGATTCCTGGTTTCAACATGTCTGCCTTCACCTTGTCCTTACAGTAAGTCGGCTTTCCGTCTTTTCTCGGCGTTTCGGGTTGGTTGAGTTTTTTTCCTGCTCTCTGAAGTCACTTGGAGGCCACCAGGCAGGTGCCCTGATGATGGGAGAACTTTCTTCCTCTTAATCCTTTCTATCCCCTTTTGAATCTTGTGGAAGTGAGATGGTGGGTTTCATGGCATATGGACCCGGGGGTGCCTGGCTGAGGAATTCTGGGAGTTGAAGTCCACACGTCATAAAAGGGCCAAGTTTGAAGACCCCTGCTTAAGAGTCTCCTGCTTAGCAACCATTCCAAGTTACAGTGGCGCTGAAAAAAAATAAATCCTTTAAAATCTGAAAATACCCTGTCCACGTTAATGACCTATCCGAATCCCTCATTTGCAGGCAGCACAAGGATGAAATAGCTGGAGACATTTTCGAGATGCTTCTCACATTTACTGACTTTCTGGCATTTAAAGAGATGTTCCTGGATTATAGAGCTGTAAGTATTTTAAAACTGAGCTGGCGGTGAGCGCTGAACACCAGTATGCTGGTCCCTCTGACCTGGGATCATGTTTTCCCATTAACAGTGGTTCTCCGGGGTCACGGGAAGAGAAAGAGCAAGCAGACGTGCAGGGAGCCAATGATTGGCTCATGATCCCTTAGAATCCTCTCTGATCCCCTCCAGCTTCCCCCTCAACAGTGTCCCACCACTAAAATCCTTGCTTTTCTACGTTTTACAGTGCAGTGGGATTTCTAGTCCAGCGCTCTGCAGAAAATAAAAGCCCAGTGTTTGTAAATTGCTTTCCTTCTTCATCTACCGGTCTCTTCTTTAGAAATGCCTCCGAACTGAAGTGTCTTTGTGTCTCGCTCTAGGAGAAAGAAGGACGAGGCCTGGACCTGAGTGCCGGGTTGGTGGTCACCCCTTTAAGCAAGCCCTCAAGGTCACCCCCCCAGAACAGCCTGTGGCATTAGTCTTTGGCTCCAGAGGAGGGCTGCCTCCCTTGGGATGTCCCAAATATGAAAGAGAGGAATGAAAGCTCTCCGCAGGCATGACCTTCTCTTCAGCTCCTTGTCTGGATGGTCCCCCACCACCATCTCCCCATCCGAGCACTTGGACTCTTGCTGTTTCCACCCAACTGGATTTTACATGGTGGAGATCAATACGTGCAATCATTTCTCTGAGGACATCCTAGCGCTCTCTCTCTCTCTCTCTGTCTGTCTCTCTGTCTCTCTGTCTCTCTCTCTCTCTCTCTCTCCCTCTCCCTCTCTCCTTCCCCCCCCCCCTCTCTCTCTCTCTCTCTCTCTCTCTCATATTATGTGGGACAATGGTCATGGAAGACTAGGGTTGGGTGTGAGGGGACCGTCTCTATGGCCCCCTGCCCCGAGTTTCACAACCACAGGATCTCTGGCAAATTGTCTTTGTGTGGGCTGTGAATGAAACAGGTAATATGCATTGTGGTGCTTTCTGTCGGCGTTTAGACGCAAATGTTGGGGTTTTTTTTGTGTATATGTAGCATGAAAATGGTACAACGATGTTCTCTACTGATGGTGAACTTGAGTCCTCCTCCAGTCAACAGACTTTTTATTTTTCTTCACTTGAGGGCTTTCACCCCTTTACCTCAAGAGGTCATGATATTTTTGAAATGTACATTTCATCTTTTTTTAGGCAGACTACCATGCAGTGTCCATGCTATGATCTGCAGCTTGTCATATAAGGACACAGCCACCTCCTACACAGTGAACCTAGCTATTAACGACTTCCCACAAGGTCTTTGGGAACATTTCTGGTTCCTTCAGTCAAATTCTCGTTCACAAGTCTCTCCATATTGAGCCAAATCAGCTGATCAAGTGCCAGTGATGTGAATTGTCCACTCAACAGCTGGCTCCTCGTCCAAATTACCTTGGACCCCCTGCATAGGTTTGTCCTTCTCCAGCTGGGAAGCCTGGAGCAGTTGTGGCCATCTTGAGTGCCATCCAGCAGGACGACCAGCCATGATCAGTAGGCAGCTGTTCTTTATGCCCTCACTTGCCAGGGACCTGATGGGGCTGAAAGATGTTTTCTAGGCCCCCTTGGGTAGGGAAGAGCTTCTGCTGTACAGAATCAGGAACCCCTGGCAGACAATGTTTTCAGACAGGAGAGATTAAAGAGAACATGGTGTTTCTCATAAGCAATTACGATATTTACAGTTGCTACAGTGTTTTCCTTGTAAATGTCTTTTCTGTAATGTTCTCAGCCTGGACGTTGGCCTCCGGCGGCGGTTTTCGAGATCTTTATCCGGAAGCACGCTCTGCTTTGCAAAAGATAATTTATTTTAACTTTTCAGCCAAGAGTATTCATTCTTTCAGGTTCCTGCTTACGAAAGTTCAAAATGTAAAAGGTATTGAGCATTAACCAAGATTGAAGTGTGCAGGTGATGCCTTAAGAAACAGGCCTAGTCAAGCATGCTGGAAATATAATCAGTATTTACCTTGGGCCCGTTTGCTTTTTTTTTTTTTTCCAAACGTCCCCGGTCTCTCCATCAGTACAATCAGTACTTGGATAACAAGGATTGCAGGATCACATCCAGAATTTCTCTTTCCCTTTTGCCCATAATTGCCAATTTAATTGCGAAGGCCCTATGTTTCAGTCTCCCAGGGGCAAAGAGCTGTATCAGGAAGAGCGATAAGGAAAATGTACGTTTCTTTTCCCTAGCCGAAATCGCATTTCAGATGCATGAGATGCTTGAATAACAGATGGGCTAGGACAGGGGTAGGCAACCTTGGCTCTTTTGTGACTCGTGGATTTCAACTCCCAGAATTCCTGAGCCAGCTGGCTCAGGAATTCTGGGAGTTGAAGTCCACGAGTCATAAAAGAGCCAAGGTTGCCTACCCCTGACCTAGGAGAAGGTTGAACCATAAGTCAACACAGAAAGGCTGAGTTAAGGGTGCTGGATTTACAGCGCCATAGACTAAATGTGTTTTTTGAAGATACTCCCTGTAGTATGGAATAGGCTTGGGGAGTCCTTGGAGCATTGCATAGGAAATGTTCTGGAGGTGGCATCTAGGAAACTTCTGCCTTCCAGAACCTCATGGCAGCACCCATGGTGGTATGTGAACACTTGTATTTCACTTGTTTCGTGCTAACAATAAAATCTTGTGTGCTTAATAAAAGATACCCTGTGGAGCGTGGCAAATTATTCTGCCAGGTTAAAAATGACCCTCTGGGTGCAGATAAAAAAACGATGGGGCTTTTGGGGAAAAAAATCACAACTTTTAAAGTGATTTATTCAATGCCTCTTGCCATTTGATCTGCCCTTCTCCTTCATATCCCCTGCCCCAAATTCCTGATCTTACAAATTAAGCACGTGGGTCTCTGTTTACTTTCCCCACGGATTCTGTGTGCACCTTTCCCAAGCAAAGTATATTCTGAAGAACCCTCCTTTTGACAAATGAGAACAATCCAGGTGGTCTTTTAAAAGTGTATTTAAAACGTGGTGGTTTTTTTTTTAGAAAGAAAACATTTGTTGGGTATATCACAGAGGCATTTCTGTTACTGTACTACATACTACTGTCCTATGAAACAAAATGGAATTAATGATTAAAGATTATTTACAAACATTATTTGCAAGCAGTGAGCCTACGGTAGGTTTCAGTTTTCTTAGCTCTGGTGAGAAATGCTTGGCCATCTCTAGACACATGCAAACCTCTGGATTACTTCACACATCTTTGCCGCACTCCTCTGCAAACATCACAGCAGGGGTGTCCAACCTTGGAAACTTTTAAGACCTGCGGACTTCAGCTCTTGGAATTCTGTAATGCAAGGGTTGAAGACCTGTGGACTTNTCTCTCTCTCTCTCTCTCTCTCTCTCTCTCTCTCTCTCTCTCTCTCTCTCTCTTATATTATGTGGGACAATGGTCATGGAAGACTAGGGTTGGGTGTGAGGGGACCGTCTCTATGGCCCCCTACCCCGAGTTTCACAACCACAGGATCTCTGGCAAATTGTCTTTGTGTGGGCTGTGAATGAAACAGGTAATATGCATTGTGGTGCTTTCTGTCGGCGTTTAGACGCAAATGTTTTTGGGGTTTTTTTGTATATGTAGCATGAAAATGGTACAACGATGTTCTCTACTGATGGTGAACTTGAGTCCTCCTCCAGTCAACAGACTTTTTATTTTTCTTCACTTGAGGGCTTTCACCCCTTTACCTCAAGAGGTCATGATATTTTTGAAATGTACATTTCATCTTTTTTTAGGCAAACTACCATGCAGTGTCCATGCTATGATCTGCAGCTTGTCATATAAGGACACAGCCACCTCCTACACAGTGAACCTAGCTATTAACGACTTCCCACAAGGTCTTTGGGAACATTTCTGGTTCCTTCAGTCAAATTCTCGTTCACAAGCCTCTCCACATTGAGCCAAATGAGCTGATCAAGTGCCAGTGATGTGAATTGTCCACTCGACAGCTGGCTCCTCGTCCAAATTACCTTGGACCCCCTGCATAGGTTGGTCCTTCTCCGGCTGGGAAGCCTGGAGCAGTTGTGGCCATCTTGAGTGCCACCCAGCAGGACGACCAGCCATGATCAGTGGGCAGCTGTTCTTTACGCCCTCGCTTGCCAGGGACCTGATGGGGCTGAAAGATGTTTTCTAGGCCCCCTTGGGTAGGGAAGAGCTTCTGCTGTGCAGAATCAGGAACCCCTGGCAGACAATGTTTTCAGACAGGAGAGAGTAGAGAGAACATGGTGTTTCTCATAAGCAGTTACGATATTTACAGTTGCTACAGTGTTTTCCTTGTAAATGTCTTTTCTGTAATGTTCTCAGCCTGGAAGTTGGCCCCCGGCGGCGGTTTTCGAGATCTTTATCCGGAAGCACGCTCTGCTTTGCAAAAGATCATTTATTTTAACTCTTCAGCCCAAGAGTATTCATTCTTTCAGGTTCCTGCTTACGAAAGTTCAAAATGTAAAAGGTATTGAGCATTAACCAAGATTGAAGTGTGCAGGTGATGCCTTAAGAAACAGGCCTAGTCAAGCATGCTGGAAATATAATCAGTATTTACTTTGGGCCCGTTTTCTTTTTCTTTTTTTTTTCCAAAAGTCCCGGTCTCTCCATCAGTACAATCAGTACTTGGATAACAAGGATTGCAGGATCACATCCAGAATTTCTCTTTCCCTTTTGCCCATAATTGCCAATTTAATTGCGAAGGCACTATGTTTCAGTCTCCCAGGGGCAAAGAGCTGTATCAGGAAGAGCGATAAGGAAAATGTACGTTTCTTTTCCCTAGCCGAAATCGCATTTCAGATGCATGAGATGCTTGAATAACAGATGGGCTAGGACAGGGGTAGGCAACCTTGGCTCTTTTGTGACTCGTGGATTTCAACTCCCAGAATTCCTGAGCCAGCTGGCTCAGGAATTCTGGGAGTTGAAGTCCACGAGTCATAAAAGAGCCAAGGTTGCCTACCCCTGACCTAGGAGAAGGTTGAACCATAAGTCAACACAGAAAGGCTGAGTTAAGGGTGCTGGATTTACAGCGCCATAGACTAAATGTGTTTTTTGAAGATACTCCCTGTAGTATGGAATAGGCTTGGGGAGTCCTCGGAGCATTGCATAGGAAATGTTCTGGAGGTGGCATCTAGGAAACTTCTGCCTTCCAGAACCTCATGGCAGCACCCATGGTGGTATGTGAACACTTGTATTTCACTTGTTTCGTGCTAACAATAGAATCTTGTGTGCTTAATAAAAGATACCCTATGGAGCGTGGCAAATTATTCTGCCAGGTTAAAAATGACCCTCTGGGTGCAGATAAAAAAACGATGGGGCTTTTGGAAAAAAAAATCACAACTTTTAAAGTGATTTATTCAATGCCTCTTGCCATTTGATCTGCCCTTCTTCATATCCCCTGCCCCAAATTCCTGAATTTACAAATTAAGCACGTGGGTCTCTGTTTACTTTCCCCACGGATTCTGTGTGCACCTTTCCCAAGCAAAGTATATTCTGAAGAACCCTCCTTTTGACAAATGAGAACAATCCAGGTGGTCTTTTAAAAGTGTATTTAAAACGTGGTGGGTTTTTTTTAGAAAGAAAACATTTGTTGGGTATATCACAGAAGGCATTTCTGTTACTGTACTACATACTACTGTCCTATGAAACAAAATGGAATTAATGATTAAAGATTATTTACAAACATTATTTGCAAGCAGTGAGCCTACGCATCCAAAGTCAAAAGAATCGAGACCACTCTTTACGAACCGGTAGAGATCTGTGTACGTTTGGAGACCTAATGAAGTGTGTAGAAACGGCGTGAGGAGACGTTTGTAGTGTCGTCCCCACAGGTTGGAACCTTTGAAAATTCTGGACGCCTGAAGTCGAGAACCTTAAGACATTACGTTCCCAACTTCTGGACACCTGAACAGCTCCTAGAAATTGTAATGCAGGGGTGTCCAACTTCGGCACTTTTTTTAAAGACTTGTGGACTTTTAACTCCCAGAATCCCCTAGTCAGCCGGCTGGGGAATTCTGGGAGTTGAAGCCCACAAGTCTTAAAATCGCCAAGGTTGGACACCCCTCCACTACTGAGAACAGCCAAGTTACCTTAAGTTAAGACAGCTGCTCCCCCTGTGGACCTGAGTGAGCCAACGAAGGCATGGCAGTTAACAGGCCTGAGAAATGCCCATTTAAGTCAGAGTCTGCATAATTTCCATTCCGGCTTTGCTCTGACACTATGCCAATCAATGTTAGTAATCCCAATTGTTTAGCCAAGAGACATGAAAGGCTGTTTTGTGCCGCTCGCATCGTCTTTGCCAAGGGGGATAATAAGGTTGAAAGTTAGCATTAGGCACTTTTGAAAGGTCTAGCTCTGGGTTAGGAACAAACCAGGAATCATGAAAACCAGCAGGAGGCTGCCTATCTCATCCAGGGCTTAGTCGCTCTGTCCAGGATGCCGGTTAGCGCGCAGGAGAAGGGAGGAGGTGAGTCCTGTGATCAGATTAGCTCTGTTGAAGCTGTGATGGGACATTTAGTTTCCAAGCCAGGCCACGTCTGGAAGAGAAGGGACAGAAGCTGCAGTAGCCACCATCTCTGCCCACAAGCCAGCCAGCCAGCTTGGCCCCTGTTGATTCAGAAGGATCCACAGTTCTTTAGGCGTGATTGGAGATGCTCGCTTGACTGGTGGCTGCGTTGCTTCCGTAACCCCTCCAGGCTCGGATGCTGAGGCAGGAACTGACCCCGTAGCCGATCATCACCAGGCAGGCAAAGAACTGGGAAAGACAAGCCACAAACGGATTAAAGCTACATAGCCAACAGGAGAGGGAGGGGGGCTGCAGATCCCCCTGGATCTCAAGTCCATTTCCAGGCGATCTGGAACTTCAAACCTGATAGAGAAGAAGTCTAAGACTACAGATAGTCCTCAGCTTACAGCGGTTCATTTAGCAATTGCTCAAAAGTTACAACGGCACTGAATAAAGTGACCTACGACCCTTTTTTCACCACAACTTTGGCAGCATCCTCAGGGTCACGTGACCAAAATTCAGATGTTTGGCAACTGACTCATATTTGTGACCGTTGCGTCTCCCGGGGTCACGTGATCCCCTTCTGCAATCTTTTGACAAGCAAAGTCAATGGAGAAAGCCAGATGCACTTAACAAGCAGGTTACTCATTTAATAACTTCGGTGATTCACTTAAGAACGGTGGCAAGAAAGGTCGTAAAATGGGGCAAAACTCACTTAACAAATGTCCTCACTTAACAGAAATCTTGGGCTCAATTGTGGTGGTAAACCGAGGACTACCTGTACTTGGCAAGGCAGAGAGTTCTTCCCACTGACTCTGCATAAGCTGCCCAGCAGCCCATTCAGCTGAAGACAGTGAAAATATTTCAATTGTAAGAGGAGACAATACTAGAGTTTCTTCTAGATTTTCACAGTAAACAATTGCACAATTCACTATTCAGTTCAAAATGCAAATACAGTCGCGCAGGAGCGGAGAAACTGAAACAGTATCAATAATAAAAAAAAATCACTCTTGGGTTCTGATCTCTGTTATTTAGACATCAATCCCTGCCCCATCAAAGCAAAATTTGCCAGGGGGGGGGAGGTGTTGGTAACTTTTCAGGACGCAAACGATGCTGAAGTTTATTTCATCCAAGGCAAAGAAGCACAGCTGTTTCAAGAGCTGCTTCTCTCCATCTGGTTCCCTTTCAGATGGGTTGGCCAACGACCAACTGGGGTGGCAGGTGGGATCCAGGAGCCACAGATGGTGCCAGGTTGAGGACAGCCTGAGTTACATGCTGGTGACTGACACTTGAGTACAAGCGTGCGTCTCGGAAAGCAAAGGGGGCTCGGATGCGTGATGTAGCTCTCAGCTGCTGCTTCATTCATGAGTGGAGATTAGCTCATTGCTGGCATAACAAGACTTGGGGCTTTAAAAGCCAGCCCCGGTTTAGAGAAAAAGCACGCTACATGGTGAGTGAAAGAAAACTAGGAGTACAAGAAATATGGGCGAAATCGTCATATTTCATATCATCATATGAGAAATCGTATCATCATACAGTTCTACAGAGGAATTATTGAGCCTCTCGTTTGCACCTTAATAACTGTCTGGTTTGGCAGAGCAGCCAAGCAGGACAGGTACAGACTTCAATGGATAGTTAGGACTGCAGAAAAAACTATTGCCTTCCACTGAGGACCTGTCTACTACACAGGCCAGAAAGAGGGATGAAAATATATCTACAGATCCTTCACATCTTGGACATAGACTGTTTCAACTTCTCTCCTCTAGACGCCATTATAGGACATTGCATGACAAAAAATGTAGACACAAAGACAGTTCCCCCCCCCCCCCGGGCCATCACACTGCTGAACACCTAATTCCTACAGCACCATCTTAGGCCTAAAGATATTTACCCATGTAGTAGGGCTGTATTGCAATTATCCTTCTCATTTCTCATCTTCTTACCTTTCCTACTATCTTCTCCTATTGGTATCTTATGATTTATCACTTGTTGCTTGTATCTTACGATTCATGATTGTAACTATGATTTATGATCTATGACCTATCCCTTTGTTATTTGTATGTACACTGAGAGCTTGTGTACTGGAGACAAATTCCTTGTGTTTCCAATCACACTTGGCCAATAAAGCTGCCCCATGGCCCAGCCTGAAGAAATAACCTGGCTTAATGGTTACCTACCGAGGCTGCAGCCCTTTTGTTGTAGTCCGGGGAATGGGGCCAGGAGTATGGTTCAACCGATGCAGCGCTGGTTATGAAAGCTGTTGCATACATGATGGAGGCTGAGACATTTAACACCACAAGCTGGGGAAAAGAAGAGAGAACCATGGGATTCAGATGTGAAAATCTCTTTTAAGATTCTGAACTGGGTCTTGGCAGGGCCTCAAACCAAGTTTTAGCCTTCCTGGCCCCAGTTTCTTTTACCTTTTTTAATTATTTTATTTGCAACGTTAAAAATACAAACTCCAAAAAGAAAGAAAAAATATGAAAATATAACTAAACAAGACATAAAATAAAACAAAAATATAATGCATACAAAAGAGAAAGGAAAAAAACCATGTGCGTAAATTCCCCCGCCCAGTTGAATACTGATAAATACATTTCCAAAATAGCAGTTTCCCCCCCCCCCCTTGCAAAACAGGCATACATTTTATGTTTAGAATTCTATTTATTCAACCAGTTTGCTCTCTCCCCTTTATTTTAGTGTTGACTGACTGGGAAAGCAAATGCAGAAGATGAACAATGGAACGAGATGCAGCTATTCATCTTATTTTCCAAGGCATGAGACCTGGAGCCACTGAATGTGACACAGACGTGTGAAAGGGCGGTGCAATGCGCATTAAGAGAGGAAAGGCAGCCCCTGGTTACCACTCACTAAAACAGTCTCATCTTCTGGAATCACCCAGCTGTTTGGGGGAAATGTCTGCAGCCAGGGAACCCTATAAGAAGATGCGACTGCTTCAATGAGTTGCAGGCAGGCCCTTCGCTGACGTTCCTGAAAATTCAATTTCTAGCTTTTTGACAGCGTGCACAGCCCTAATGCTCCAGGCTGGTGCTTTCTTCCACAGCGTGCTGCTTTCCCATTATTTAAACATGATAGATGCGGTCATCCCTGGGCGCTCAGCTCCCACTCAAAGAAACAACATCTGGATCACTTACAGAATAACAGAGTTGGAAGGCGCTTGGAGGTCTTCTAGTCCAACCCCTTGCTCTTTAGATACGAACTTATTTTGATTGGTAGACATACAAACCAAAACAAGTTTGTATCCGAAGAGCAAAGGGACTGGACTAGAAGACTTCCAACTCTTTTATTCTGTATTCTGCAAGGCAGCCATGCAGAGATGATGGATCGCATATTTTCATAAATGCCAAACGGCGTTGGCGTGGGATGTTTTCTGGCTGAAACAAGCTCGCTTCTCTGACCTGCCTTGAATCCACAGTCAGCGCTGCCCTTTCAGTTTAGGAAAGGATAACAAAAGTAGCACTGTTCCTCTCCTGCACCCAGGGCAAGGCAACCAGAAATGGAGAGGCGGTGGTTGGTTACACTAGGGCCAGTGGTGGGATTCAGCCGGCAGAACCGGCAGCTAATTTTTTGCTGCCCAGGCCCAGAATGGACTTCCGGAAGCGGCATCCACCCAGGGAACCGGTGGTTCCCCTATTTGAATCCCACCACTGACTAGGACAGATGAGATGGGACTCTTAACTGCTGGGGGAGAGGGCTCTAAGTTGGAGCTGCTGATGGGGATGTAAGAGGACCACCATTCTTCCTAGCTAGACCTAGTTAGGACAATTCCCTGTGTTGCAAATGCCTACGGAGATTCTCAACCATCCAGATCATGGTTGTCCCAAAGGTGCTTTTCAAAAGGCAAGTAGACTTTCTTGGGTTTTTTTTTTTTTCTCTTGAAAGCGTTTCACTTTTCATCCAAGAAGCTTCTTCAGTTCAGAAGCTCCTTGGATGAGACGTTAAATGTTTTCAAGAAAAAAAACCCACCAAAAACCAAGGAGTGTAGTTGCCTTTTGAAAAACATCTTTGGGATAACTGAGTTGGAAGAAAAAATAATGAATGCACGGTCTGGTTACACTGTGAGAAAGCCGGATGCTTTTTTCAGTGCAAGCCCAAAAAGATTCCTTGAGCAGGCAATTCTATAAAGTCACAATTAAATCCAAAATGCCACTCATGCCACAGCAAAATGTACAAAAATAAGTCGTGCCCCAATCCAGGCAGGTTAACGCGCAAGGAAGGGTGCTTATTGCTAAATCCTAAAAAACAGGTTTCTCACAAGCATTTCTGGTTTGTGAACGTGGTCTGGAGTGCTTCCTTCATTGTACAGGTGTGGGGAGTGCACAACTGAAATAGTAACCACAAAAGAGCTGGCAATCTCCAGCCTACTGGTTTATTTTTATTGATTAGATGTATATGCTGTCCAACTTACAGGTAAGCGACTGATAAAATCTATCTTTTTGGATGAGAGCAGCCAGAAGAATATTTGAATAGTGAATAATTACTCTGCCTAGTTAATCAAGCTAACCTATCTCAAAAGTTCATGATAAAAATGCATTCCCTTGGTCAAATGCCTTAGAGCAGAAGAAAAGGGGCATAACTGAAGACATGATTCATTTAGGGAACGGCCAAGTCATAAACTTGTGTCGCCTCACTCAGTATTGGCTCTATTTACCCAATTTATTGAAATAAGTTACTTAACTAGTGGCTGCACCTGCATCAAATATGAAGCTTTTATTGTGGCTAAGTGCGCTGGGCAGTCTGCACGGTGAGGTCATGGTTCACAATATGTTGCAAGTGTAGAAAAATGAATCAATGCAGCAACTGAGTTCCATGCCTGGTGCACAATTATCTTTGACCAGCAGCATCTCACAGGCTTCAGGGTGAGTCATTCTAGCTAGAGAAATCAAGGGATCTGCTTGGACCTCTCCAGATGCCAGGGGTTTGCCCTTCTTCAAAGCTGAAGGGGCATTTCAGTTCTCAGCAGAGCTTCAAGAGAAAGAGATCTTTTGAGAGAGATTAAGACATGTGCAATTATTATGGATGCTCTCACAAGACGCCCTGTGATAGCACGTAATTTAAGAGTAAAGCAAAGAGGTGGACCTGTTCTTCACCATTCTCTTTAGCCTTCTTTTACCCCAGGGGGTGTCAAACTCGCCACATCACGTGTCATGACTTTTTCCCCATTAGGAGCTGGGGAAAACTTGTAAGAAACTTGGAATTTAAATTCCCAAAGACAGAAAGATAACAGACATCTTCTTGCAGCCAGGAGGCAATCAACTTTTAGTGTAGCTTTATTCTCCGAAATAAAGGTTTTAAGCTAACCAAGCCCCATCAGAGACGTTTTAGCCAAGTCAAGATGAGGAGTCCAGGGTCAGGAGATCTGACACCCCTCAAAGTTAACCCAACTCCCATCAGCCCAGCATGATACTATTAGTCAGCAGTGAAAGGTCCTCCAGTCCAACTGAGCTGGTCAAAGGCCAATTGGGAGGATGCTCAAATGACATATTTCCCCAACCTTCCACACTCACCACAATAGGCCAAGGGATCATGTAGAGTTTCAACTGAAGCTGAAACAGATACATCACAAAGAGAATGACCGTCACCATCCAGAAGAAGATCGCTACAAACATCACCCAGCCATAGGATGGATAGGGTTGGTAGTACGTGTTGGCAATCAGGGCCCACACCAAGCAGCCCAGCACCTGTAAAAAGCACAAGAAGAAGAAGAAGGTCACACTCATCCTGGGATCTGATCACTATCTTCCATAGCCTATATGCATGAGTTATATATGAGGTACATATGCCGAAGGAGCCGCGCATCTCTTTCATTTCATTCTCACGGAAGGAGGCTGCCAAGCAATTGCTGAAACTCAGTGGGTCTCTGGGCATGTCTAGACTAACAAAGAGAAGGGCTAGGAGTGACATGATAGCAGCCCCCTCATATTTGAGGGGCTGTCACAAAGAAGAGGGGTCAGCATATTAGATGAGATGATGAGATGAGATGATAAGCTATAAGATGAGATGAGATATAAGATATA